GTTACGTGCGTCGCCCATAGTATATTGATTTCAAATAGAAATCTACGTGCATTCGCGACCACAGCATTATGGGGAAATGGTTCTGGTGTGACCGAGTAAAAATATGACTGTTGACTACCAATCGACCAATGATCAAACAAAGAAAATCTGGTCAATTATTAAACAAACTGAAACAAAAATAAGTAGGTACTTTTTTATGTGACAACGCAAATTCGCACGGGTAAACTTGTTATAGTAAACTTCGTTTTCGAAATTAAGAAGATATAATAATTTAAAAAAAGTTAGCGATGCGTTAGAAATGAATCACAATACAAGTTATAATTAACCACGTTAACGTTGACGTAGCAAAGAACTCATAACAGTATATAAGTACTACCAACCCAGTAAATATTTAAACTAAACAAACATATTTACGAGTTTACGTTCATAAACAGAAATTTGCCAAATATTTAATAGGACGTAAACTGAGGCCGTACAAAACAGGTTGCAGTATATTAACTGAGCGTTAATTACAGGCAACGACCCTTCTGGCTTTCTTCTGCCCTTGGAACGATGTTGGTGAATAGAATATAATAAATTAATAAATTCGATAAGGGTTATTCAAAAGACTTAACTTTTTTTTAGTAATAACACAATTTATTTATCCAACATTTACAACATTAACGCGTTCGAATTGACCATTCTGATCGTTCTGTTCGAATTTTACTTATTTAACCATTCTTTTGGCAACTCAAATGACATTTGAGAAACCATTTGTCAGCTGATTAGTTAATTTCTGCGATAATCAGTGTTTCAGAAACCGGGCGTAAATCTTTCTAAACTTACATTAACCATTGCTTATTAGAGTTAAGAGATTAGCTAATAAGACATGGGTGAGATTCGCCCAAAAGAGCCTCATTTGTTGTCTTTTGTATTGCATCTCGGCTTTAAATTTTTGTTTAATACATTTGACCCCATATAGAATTAAATAAAAATCAATTTAACTTAGGATACGGCCACGTCGATCACATTTACTTTTTTAAATGATTCTTTGGCGTTTATGATCGTCAAAAAAGAGGTTTTTTCTTCTACATCACAAGTTTTGTTCAGCTCAAAAGTAACTTGATAACGAAATTGTAACATACATACGGGTTATTGTAATTTTGTCGAGTCATTGACACTACTCAACCTTCCTTCGTTCTTATCGCATAGGCCTCATATCGAAGTAGGGTGAGTAAAAACAAGTATTTCAGAAAATATTTTGTATAAGCGCATATGCAAATAAATAATGATGAAAAGATATGATTTTTGATTATTTATTTCATTCCGAAGTCTTAACAAAGTTCGGGAATTTAAAGACAAAATGAAAACTGTATAACATTTGTTTTCAACCATGTTTAGTTATCTCGTAAATATAAGAAATCATAACACTAATTTTGCACAGGATTCTTGTTTATTGCTATGTATTTCTACTATGAAACCAGTTATGCAGGAGACAGTATTTTGAACACTGATCAATCTTCCAACGAAAGCATTATTTATATGGCCAATTCCGGTGAAATACCTACGAAATTTACAAAGACTTGACGGTGGTAGCCCTACACAGCTCTCGGATTCCTGTATAAGTACGGGCAGGTGAACGGCCTGACTGAGACACGCCAACAACATTGCGTTTGGCGATTTGCAAACAGCCTATACATTAAATACGTAGTGATTACATTGGTAACGTTCACATTTCTAGTCTTGTCGCGTGTCTATCACGAAAATCCTCCACAAAAACATATAATTCCTTCTTGATAACAAAGTCTAAGCGATATTAACACATATCGTCGTCACGTACATTTCACCGCGTAAGACAGAAAATAATTACAATCTTATCTAGCACATTGAACAAGCATTGCTATAAAATGGAAATCAATCGACCGATAACGTCAAGAATCTGTACATCAGTGAAGAAAAAACTTTATGCCCCTTGTAAAGCATTATCGCGAATAAAACTCACCATCTACAATGTGAAATTTGGCATCATTAAAGTTTATATGGAGAAAAGGTGCATTATTACTGTGTCCTATATATACAGGGAGAGGGCAACAGCTTCTGTTGTTGCACGAATGGGCAGGCTCCAGGGAAGTCCCACCACGGGCTCACAGAGAGTGTGATAGCCGGGGTCCAATTTTTTAAAGGTTTTCAACGCACCCACAAATAATTAAGTATCATAGATGTCCATAGGCGGTGGTTATCACTTAATATCAGGTTAAACGCCTGCTTACTTGAGAACTTTTAACCTAAAAGAAACCTATAATTTATTTATAACTTGTGTAACGAACGGAATAAATAAAATAAACAGTCTCGTCAAGGACATAGAGTGACACAGGCGACACAGGAGATACTGCCACCAAATTGTTTTAAAATGTTCGATTCACTGAATGAAAAAAAAATGAAATTTAACGAGTTAAACTTTCATTTCAGCCACGGCACACAATTCGACCCACTAGTTTAATTTTAACGTGAAAATCTGTCGAAATAAACCCATTTAAAACGGCGCAGCGTTCTCGTTAATCTAACAGATTGTAATGTCATTTATTTTCCGAAACATTGTTATTAAAGGTATAACAGCACTTTCTGTTCGAACTGGCGTTATCATCTTATCGGTACAAATTTATACGCGCCTCCGCTTGTACAAAAATAAATTAAAACATCCAGTCCGAAATCGTATAAAATGTTGAACGTTAACTCGAACGGGATACGAACATGTTATAAAGATTAACATCTATGTAATTACATACCTACAGCATCGTCTTAACTGGATAAACAATTTTTTGTATGACGTAGCTATCTTGAGAGCTGAATAATTATCGAACTTACTACATATAAATAATTTAAGTGTTTAAACGTTCATAGGTTGAATTTCAACTCATCGAATCCGAAATAGTATTTCAAAAATAAAAAAAAGAGTTAAAATTAAATTGATAACCAGTTAAAAATTCAATTTAAATATGATATTATAGGGTAGTATTGAATATGCGAATGAGGCCGTTTTTGCAAGGGCCCGTAACATTTACGAAGATATATTTTTAACAGAATGTAGTCTAGACAAGTTCAGGTTTAAGACCTTTGTCACCTGTCCCGCCCCACATGCTAGTGTTTTAAATAGAGCATCAGAAAACATTTAAAAAATGTACAAAAATTAGCATTATCTTTAACTTCTATCCTTAGTTTGAAGAACACGCGACTAATAAATACAAAAACACGTCTAAGAACATTAAGGGAATAAAATATTACATATGTATATTAAAAGGACAATTAAAAACAATTTAAAACATGAATAATATAGCTCGCCTTTTTACCACAGTCTTCAACTGATTTCAAACAATTTTATGTTTGTTACCCCAGAACTCCGTCAATTATAAATCGATTTTATATTTTCACTAGATTTCTTTTTTAGTAATATGAACTGGACTTTGGTCGACTGCTATCAAACCAGATGGAAAGTGTCGATGAAGCCGTACATGGTACGCAATGGTACAGCAAAAAGCCTCTTTAATCTCGCTTCGAAACACACACGTGTAAAATAACCGCGAGAAAAATGCGTAAATCAAAGTATTTTATATTATCATTTAACAACGACTGTTAACAACAAATAAACTTTAAAATTATATCACAAGAATAAGCTTACGCCCTGCGATTCTATAAATAATTATTACATAGTATGAGACATTGAAATGAGAAGAAAATATAGGTAAAGTTCAAATTTTTTATTTGACTAATAGTGACTATAGAGCCGTGATAGCTCAGTGTCCGGGCGCTCGCCTTTAATTCAATATACTCGAGCAACCTGAGTTGAGTTCGATTCCCGGTGCCGGCACCAATGAAGTTTTTAACTTTAAGTGCCGACTTATCACGTGCTCCGCGGTGAAGGAAAACATCGTGAGGAAACCTGGCATATTTTCGAAAATAATAGCAAAAAAAATATATTTTTCGAAGATATGTGAAGTCCGCCAATCCGCAGTGGGGCCGCGTGGTGGACTATGCCCTGATACCCTCTCCATAGAGGAGGCCTTTGCCCAGCAGTGGGACTGTATGTGACATAGGCTGTTACAGTACAGTACAGTAATAGAGTTTTAAATGAAATCCCTTGAGCCGGTGGGGAGCTTATTTGGGACACACATTCCTATAGACAAAAATTGTTAAAGCGGTAATAAAGAACACTTCAACTAATTTTACCATTCCTTTTGAAATTACACAACAAACATTTTAATTTTGTTTTTTATGAAATAGGCTTAGAAATACCAGTTCTTGGTCTTATACAAGAGAAACCACAAAACACATTTGAGATACTCACAAACTGCATTTGAGAGCTTTACAGGTATAGCGATTTGTTGAATTTACGCCCATGGAGGTACTATGAATTGTTAAATAAAATTCTTTTAAGAATTTTATGGTTTTTCATTTGATTTTGCTTTACGACCCACCGCGTTCAGTAGAAAGTAAACCTGTATCTAGCGCCAAGGTTAGGATTCGGACCCCACTGCTCCAAAAAATTGTTTGATGCACATTGTATTGATGTAGTGTTTGGGTGTTATTATATCTTTAATATGTATTTATTTACATGACAAAAGTTTTTTTAGCTATGTTTATCAGTATGTAGTACATAAATGTACGTTAAAATATGTACTTTTTTTTATTACCAGCCCGTTTTTTACGTTTCCATTGGAACTTCAGAATAAAAAGTATATAAAAACACTCTCCTCTTCAATAGCTATGTTGTGAACAAATATCAAGTCAATCCGTTGGCTTCTTTTTGAGTTTTATGCACACAAACATACGGGAGCCAAATTTTTACATAATATAAAGATTTATTCACTTTTAAATTCCCGTTTCGAACACTACTCTACATGGAGTAGAAATACGTAAAATAATTTGACTTTCCGAGTAATATATAATAAGTCTGTTAATGTTTTCAAGACATAAGTTTTCCTCGAAGTTCTTTCAAATTGAAATTACATAACACGGTGACGTCACAAGTGGATAAGCGAGCGCGACGCTTCGTAGCAATGAAGCCGGCCGACCGAGTTTGCTCCAGCGTGGTTCGAGTTTTTGTCGGATTCGCAACCTTGAGTGGTAGCGCATGGCGTCTGTGGGAACGGTATGGGACGCCTTAGCGCGCCTGCAGCCCATGTGAGCGGTGCAGACGCGCTACATCCGCCCAACTCGGTGCTCCTTATGGGGTCGCCACATGACCGCGTGTCGCTGGACGCGTCGCTTTGTCGATTATAATAAAGAAAAACTTCAAGGATAAACATCGCCAAGGAACGAAATTAACGCTTGCAAAACGGTAATCTCGACGACCTTGAGTGCGTCTGTTAATGTTTTCAAGCTCAGTTTGTTCGGTTCATCTTAAATTTGGTTTGTCGTGATGTTGTCTTAGCACTTTTTGTCAGGTTTGTTACCGGTACATAAATTAGATCATCTTAAGTATCGCCTACGTATTAATTAAAATATTTGAATATATCATATACCTACTTATTTTAAGTAAAGTAATAAATTTCATTATTAATGCAATATTGCACAATAGACACACGCCTTATATTAAAAACATAGGCAGGATCGTATGCCAAATGAAATTTGACTAATTCCTAAATCTTTATAGTCCAATTATCGAAGTCACACTAGTTTAATTTTATAAAATAAAACTTGTTTATTGTTACATTCTTGAAAAACGGGTACTCTATCCCAAACAATTCACGGCAGCTGGTAGCCCTGTTTATACGTAACCTGCTGTTACAATTTAAGAGAATATTTATCAACCTTTGTTAAACTGAAAGGATTAAAGATAGCGTCATACAGTTAAAAGCGAGTACTAATACATAATATCTTTCGAGATGGCATCAAAGGACCCAGCGCTTGTAAAGAGGTTTTATTTCCTTTCACTGGGTCTCATGTATTGCTTATTCTGAATTTGAAATTAATTAATTCGTTTATTTTGATTTGTAAATCTTGAATTTAATTTTTGGCAATCAAGCAACTAGCCAGTTGGTGATGGAGAGAACCTCCCGAGAATCTCCTAACACCCGAGGAGAAGAAGCTTAAGAAGACCATAGTCGCGGAAGAATGCGCCTTCGTGTTCAAGTTTAGAATACAACGATACGACAGAGACAGGTGTGACGTGGGGTTTTACCCGTTGGTGGTGGTTGCCACCAACGGGTAAAACCCACGTTGGGACGGGATGTCCCGTTCTGACCGGGACTTCCACATACAACCCTGCACTCCCACCAACCCAGTGGCAGAAGATCCATAACAAAAATCGAAGAACACTCCAACCGACAACAGGCGTGGTGACAGCTGAGATTGCCAGGTATATGGGCATCTGGTCACTCACCGGACTAAACGCCAAAAGACTCACATTTCGTGAGGACGATATTCTGTAAGGTCGTCATACTTCCCGGTCGAGCTGGCGTACCATAAAGCAGGAGCCTGGATTGTCCATACGGTCTTCATTAGCATTTTACCAGTCATCTAATGACAACACCTGGGAAAAGTTTGCGCGGGAACAATGCTGTCTATTAAATAGCTAATTGCTTATTCTTCGGGGACTATTCGTCCGCTTGTCAAAATTAGGACCACCGCATTATGTCGATCTTAATCGAGTTTATATTTCATTGCCATTTGTTAATGGATGAATTATGTAATATTATAATCATATAATTCAGTTTAACTTCAGTAAAGTAAATATATTAGTAAATTGCTCGAATAAAACACCGTAACAAACGATGTCAGTCTGACGCCGCTTAGGTTGTAAAGTACGGTCTATACATGTCCCACAGGTGGGCAAATACAGAGCCCTGGCCCAGGCCCTACCTACTATGCGATAATACCCTCTATACAGAGTGTATTAGGGCATAGTCCTCTACGCAGCCTCATTGCGGATTGACGCACTAGAAATAACTTCGAAATATGTTTTTGTTATTATTTCGAATTTTATGTAGGTATCTATATATATATATATATTTCCTCACGATGTTTTCCTTCACCGCTGAGCTCGTGATAAGTCAGCACTTAAAATTAACAATTCCATTGGTACAGGCACCGGAGATCGCACGCAGGTTGCTCGAGTATATTGAATTGAGAGCGAGCCAATGGACTAGCTAGCTATTACGGCTCGTCGGATGTACCTGTTATCTATTCGCGTATTAACGTAATATTGCCCGATTAAATGGAACAGATTTTTACGGATTTTATCGCATTGACAGCATTCACGGACCGCACCGTGACCATAAATGTAGCTTAGCAAGCAAACGAAACACGCTCAAGATTTTAAATTAAAATTAATAAACTATGAATGCTAAAATGTTTGCATTCACGTGTTTTCATCATTAAAGAAATAACCATGAAGGCATTATGACAATAAAGTACTGGTTTATAGAAAATCGTGGAAGGAAACGATTGAATAAGATGCAGTTCTTTTTTTATTAGAGCAACGTTTTAGTTGATATGTTTTAGTTGTTATTGTAATAAATGGCATGTAGGTCATATGGATATATAAAAACTAAATATTTGTGAATTATATATCAAATGATAATATATTGATAGCCGTGATAGCTCAGTGTCCGGGCGCTCGTCTTTAATTCAATATACTTGAGCAACCCGAGTTCGATCCCCGGTGCCGGCACCGATGAAATTGTTGATTTTAAGTGCCAAATTATCACGTGCTCTGCGGTTAAGGAAAACATCGTGAGGAAACCTGCATATTTTCAAAATAATAACAAAAAAAATATTTCGAAGAAATGTGAAGTCCACCAGTCCGCATTTGGCCCGCGTGGTGGACTATGCCCCGATACCCTCCGCACAGAGGAGGCCTTTGCCCAGCAACGGGACATGTATAGGCTGCTACTTTACTTTACTTTACTTTAGGTACTTATATGAAATGGTTCTGATTATTTTATAAGATGATTTGATTCGGTTCTTGATTTAATAATCGCCGACTTCTCAAATGCTCACACCATTAAACTTTATTAGAAAACAGTCTCATATTAAAGCAGCATTTATTGAAGACACTATTGCCATATGAATACGCAAATACAGCTATATTAGGAGTACTTGTGTGACAAAAGTGTTAGCATGACGCAAAATAAAAAAAGATACTAAAATGTCGACAGCACGAAAGCATTAACACTAAAAGAGAAGACAATCGCAAAGACTAACTGTTTCTTTCTTATTTTTTAAGAAGGTTTAACGTTCTATTTTCAAATAGCAACGGGTTACCATTAGCACTGGTATTGCGCAACGTCAGATTATTTCGCGGGGGTTCGATGTCGACGAAGGCATCACCCGCGGTCGGCCAATTACGAAACTCGGAGAATAGCGTTTGAAATTTCGCAATTAGCGTAAGACGAACGGCCGTAGCATTTACGCGAGTCGCTCTCCGCCGACCCGGCCTCTAGTCCGGCCACCCGGCGTGGGCGCTGTGCTCCTTTTGATGGAGCAATAAAAAATCATCGGCCACGCTTACGTAATCCGTATTATTTCCGCATCAGGACCGCCGTCGGAGGTCAACGCGCGCACGATATTATCTCTCAACTATAAACTTGTTATTTACCGAGATTAACGGTAGCAGGGCCGTATTTACTAGCTTTTTTATGGGAGGTGGCGAACGGACCGACGGTTCGCGTGATCCAGTGCTCCCATGGTAGCCCCATGTTAAGATTAAAAGGGTAGGCAATGGTCCTCACGCGCCAAAGTCGAAATTCGCGAAAAAATAAGGGATACATGATGTAGAACACACGTCAGTCCTCTGTGAGGTCGCGAAAACTGAACTGCCCATTAATGGAACAGAAGAAACTGCTGAGTTTTTTTACCTCATCAAATTTATTCATATTTATACCAGACACAAAAAAGAGACGACTGAAGGAGATATTCAGTTAAAGTGACGACATTTAATAAATTCATCGTGGAAATTTTATATTTTGATTAAAATATTTAAAAGAATTTATCCATTATCCGACTGGATGAATAGAAGATGGCAAATTATTTCTTAATACAAACAACGGACTCACTTTTATTATCTATTGGATAAATAGCTACCACCAACGAGTGTCATAAAGTATAGCTGAATGATAAAAGGACTAAATAAAATAAACAAGTGTGCATGTCAGTTATTTTACATCAAATAAATCACCTTGCAAAGTTTTATGGCACTTGAGGGACGACTTATATTATCACTTATATTCTCCTTGGGTATATGCCATTGCATAAAAGTTTTTCATTATCTTTAAACGAAAACGATTAAACAAAACCATTTTACAGATTTAAGAGCGTTTAATTTATTTCTTATACTAGCTGCTGCCCGCGACTACGTCTTCGTAGAATAGGCTGACAGATATACATAAAAATATGTATATAGCCTATGTGTTATTCTGATGTATAAGCTATATTATTGGAGTTACATTAAAATCCATTAAGTAGTATTTGCGTGAAAGAGTAACAAAAATCCATCCATACATACAAAATTTTATAATATTAGTAAGGATATGTACCCAACGCTCGGAACACTTCAAAACATCCATGGTCATGCGACAAACATAGTCTAATACCCGCCTGCAAAATCTCTACGTTTGTTGTGGAGTGATGCAGCCGGATCTCGTACTAACAGTTGTTTTACGTCTTAAAGTTAAAGTTACAGGCGTAGTCTTTTTCATGTTGGATAATTCGTTCAACCATAAAAAAGAAATCGTTTGAAACAATTATACAAAAATTAAAAAAAATTGTATGACGTACAAATAAAACGCTATGTAGAGAATAAACCAAACGACTCTAGATGTGTATTTATTAAAAAAAAGAAACAGAACCAAGCAAGCGATGTTAGAGAATTCAAGCGTTGCCCGCAACCGGTGCGGTGTCGACTCACTGATTAAAGTTGATTAAAGACGAGTCACTGTAAACGTTAAACATGAATGAAAAACAAATTATAACTGAGATTTAAAAGAGAGCAAAAATATTGCGACGATGTTAATGTACCTACAACATTTAGCAAATATTTAAGAGCGAGAAACGGAGAGAGTTGTGAAATATGAAATGTGTAAAAATCGTGGAAGACGGCAAAAGAAATTTCGCTTTGAACTTAAATAATTGCCTATGGACGCAAAGAATTGTTTAACAACCCTGTATTGTGTTACACAATCGCCATTCATCACTCGGGGCGGCTATAAATCTCAAATTAGAGACATTGTAAAGTTTTACGAACTTCCAACCTCAGGTAGGGATCATATTTCACTTTAGCTAAATAACTTGCCATAAGAATGGACACGCGGTATTTTTTGGGGCCGCGTGTCTGTGGGGACACGTTCGAACAACTTATACGAGTTCATACTAGATCGCTTTTTGAAGTGTTTCGGTAAAAACCGAGATCGTATCACGTAGCCAGAGTCCATTGTAAATAGAGGGACGCGCAAACTTAAAACACCGAACCCTCCCATGTATTAAAATGGAGGGGGGGGGGGGGGCTTTGTAAAAGCTGCGCGCCACGGGCGGCATCCGAACACAATGACTCTATGCCGTACGATCCATTGTGGAGGTTGTAAGGAAAGTCGGAACGAATCGTAAATAGGATCACGACGCCCATCCGATCCGTAGAAACAATCCGCGAGCCGTATGCGTATTCAACACAATCGACGCGGGGCATTATGCAATGCGTCACAAAGGGGGGGTTACGAAGGAATTCCGCCAGTTTCTTTTTCCGGACTTCGAGAGAACAACGCGCGAGCATCGCTTTTTGCGGGGACCGTCGTAAATCAGTTGGGCAATGGTCAGTAAGGAGGCCGGACAGGCGGCCTCCCCTTTGTCCGTCGGTCAGCTGTGCGATGATGTGACAAAAGAATCAGAATGAGCCATTCTGTCAACGATATGGTTTTACATGAGTTTGGATTATTTAGCTCCCTCTTTACATAGTTATGTTAACAGTACACACATTTCTTTAGAGATAACAGTTTAAAATACGGCAATGGAACATGAATGACTTTGCGAACTTAATGCTTTTTAATAAGAGACATACTTGTCTTCAGGACACGATGTAAGTCATTCTAAATCAGTACTTTGGAGTATTCAGAATTTAAAGTATTAAGCTTTTTAGTCACTTACTAACGACACAAAGACAAACATTGATATTGTTATAATGAATCTATTTTAGAAAATCTTTTCGACAATAAAAAATTACGTAACCACGTCTCGACATGTCAAAAACAAAGAACATCGTACGGACCAAACTAAAGGGAATAAAGTCTTTAGGAACATGCAAAATTGAATGGAGACGGGATCCCTATTAAGTGCCACCCGGGATGCGCAAGTAACTTTATTGTTTGGGCTCGCATTGTGCTGCCAATGACAGATAAGAGGCGTGTAATGAACAAGCGAGCAACAATGGTCGCCTCCCAGGAGACCAGGCGCTCCCACAAATGTTTCGAGTTAATGACGCCTTAAATCTAAACGCTGCTTACCCTATACGGCGAACCGGGAGCGAGCATTAACTAAAGATTCATCCAACTACACGTATACGAAAGTACCTATTTGACGATACACATATTTAATCGTTGCATACGATTGTGAGAGTTTTTTAACTTATATCAACAAGTAAGATCACTTTATTTATTTAGCCGATTTTTATTTAAGAAAAATATAATCGTACTGCGTTTATTGATTAGAAAGCATTTCAATAAAATACCGTGCATTTAATACGTAGGTATTAGAAGCGCATGGACGTATAAACAGTGGTTCCGCCTACGTAACAGCTAACCGAACTTTCTCCACAGTTCCACGCATAACTCGGTAGTTTCTCAAATTACGAATCTCCGTTTTAACCCACACTGTGTTCGTTTGCAATTTGTGTAATAAATAAATATGTACATGACAAAGAGTTATATCGTTAATAATACGACATTTTACGTTTACAGAATAAAACTTTTTTTGCGTAAAAAAAATATCAAGCGAACAGGAGATTTTAAGTGATTGCAGAGGGTTGCATATACATAGTAAATATTTTAAAGACAGACAATAATCTAATCGTATCGATTTCTAAAACACATCTTGCTCTCGGGAACACAGCGAGTAGTGAAAAATAACTGTCGTATACATGCAATCGATGGCCAATAAGACCTATCGTACCATGAACCATGCTGTACCTCGGTAGTTAGCAGAGCGCAGATTGAGCGATTACTGCCTCTCCGATATGCGGAAATCGAATGAGGCCGCTCCTATTGTTAATTGTATGCCGCAGTCCATTTCGCGACTGATAACCGACGCGCGCGGAGCTATAAAACGTATTTTATGTTGCCAGAGTTAAAAAAAAGCTGTAAGCAGCGTGTTCCCGTAAAGACTTATGACGACAAAAGTAATTTGATCAATATAGCGGTTCGCTTTAAGTTTTTGAATTTCAAAAACTTAGCTCTGAATTTTGTATTTTAGTTTACTCAACGTAAAGTCAAATCTTACAAATTTCCAAAGTAACTCGAAGATTATCACAATCAACCCCTTCCTCCAAAAGGCGCTAGTCCACCAATTTTTCTCATTGATTCATTATTTTGATACAACAGCTTTATAGGATTGCAATAGGGAATTTCCGTTTCCTGTCAAGAACTACATGTTGGTAGAAACGAACACCTGCCGTTGCTCTGATTCCGGATGCTTTAGTTAAGGTTAAACAGGAGTCTACCAATTACTAAACGCTATTTCGTTTCATAGAATAATCAGTATTAGACTACAATAAGATCTATGTAAGACATATCTTTGAGACTACTGTCATAAAACATTTCTATCCAACTACGGCGGTTTACCTATAGGGTTACTGATGCGTTGCCACCTTTTGATAAAGGGCCCCGGCTACTTCACGGCGAAATAAAATACAGAAAAATTATAAATTCAATGAAGATGTTATACAATTACCGTCACGGGCTACAATCGCGCGATAGAACGCTTTAAAGATGACAACCGATCCGACGGACATTACAAGAGAATAAGAGGAAATGTTTTAAAAACATATTCTTACGAATACACGCATCTCTCGTCACTTGGGCCGCTATCAGAGTCCATACAGCTGCCGGACTGGTTTGTCCACTTGCCGTGGATTGATTTAACTTAAACGCACGATCCGCGCTGTGGCTTCGACTTCATGCCCTCCCAGTACTTTATTATCGATTAACTATACTGATTTCTGCTTATTGAGTTAGTCTAGCGGGCATTAGGCGCGGCTATTTCATTGGTTACGGTAAACAAACACGGTCAGAAAAGTGTAACGGTGTCTTGTATTGAATCTCGATTCACTGTTACTTACGTGTTAGATGAAATTAGCGATTTAGTTAGTTTATAGTTGACCAGTTGAGCGATAAATCTAAAGCCTTTATCGAACAGTTGTGCCTTGTTTAGGTACTTATTCAAAGGTAAAGGGCACTCAGTTACGTTTTCGTACATTTCTAAAACTGTAAATGGGGGATGTATATTATATAAGTTTATGTTCAGTTTAAAAACTATTTATTCCATGAATGTCCTATGGACTGAGAACAAAGACTAAGTTGAACTAAAATAACAAACATCTTTTAAATAACCTTAAGAAAATCATACCTGTTATTAATCATTATAACTCTAGAAAATTGCCACTTTACCCATAATTTTTTGATTTAATCAATATTTTATCAACATCTGCACAAAAAGCCCCTCTTTCAAGATCATAACAGGGCAAAGCAAGCCCTTTATATGGCTGCAAACAAGATTGCATAAAACCAAAAATAATGCCATCACACATAATATGATAAATAGTATGTATAATAAATATAGTATGTGTAATTCTTATCTAATGTATACATTAAGAATACTATGAATATGTATAAAATATAAATAAAAATAACTAATTTATATTGATCATTACATGATAATGTCAATGTAGGTTTTTTCACAGTATTTTTGGGAACTAATTGTTAAATAGTCATGCATTTTTTAAATATATTTTCCAAATATTACATGTATAGAAATTTCAATTTTAACTTTTTATAACAAATTTCCTTACTGATTTATGTTTTGTTTTATGATATGATAAATATAAAAAAATGACATCTGAATATCAAACCTTGGCTAATAAACTTAATCTTGTTTGTTTGACCTTTACACAATAAATGCTGTTGTATCTCTGTAGAACAAATGTGGTGTATAATCTGAAGGTTGTAATATACTGCCTAATTTTAAATTAAATCAAAATCATTAAGCACAAAATTGTGCTAATGTATTATTACACAAACATTGACATTTTATAAAATGTGTTATATATTATAAAATGAAATAAATTGCTACATACCTAATATACAAGACCGAGGCACCGCTCACAATCCTTCTCCACCCTAATGGCACAGTTATAGTTTGTGGAAAGTCACTCTGTGCAGTTCTATGCTCCGTTGTCTCAGTGGAATGAGAGACGGCCGAAGACGGTATCACTGCTAGAACCACACCTTCTGCTGTACGCACTAGCTGTGGTGCATTGCTATTATCCCCTTCACTTACAATTGTCCTACTCACTCCAACTTGCTGATTCAGTATATTTATACTTTGATTCACAATAGATTTATGTGATGCACTTTGTTCTAAAAACTGGTAGTTCATATAACCTTTGCTCATAGAGATCTCCCTTTCACTGCAGCTTGTACCTTCACTGTCAACTAATACTGCACCACTTTCATTAAATTGAGTATGACGAAGTGCAACTTGGTGCATGGAGGGCATATTATTATCTGTACTCACAGGACATCTCTGATATGTTGATACCTCTCCAACATCTATAGGAACCCGACTCTGGAATGTCTCTGCACTGCTGAACTCGGAAGTGGTTGGATTGGGGTGATCCCTTTTCACTGTTATATTATTTGGCCTCTCAATAATCTTACTATCTTCAACTTTGAGAGTGGGCTCTTTTAAATATTGCTGTGAAACAGGGAAAAACTCAGTTCTCTGTGTAATAATATGCTCTGTTGTTTCAAATGCACTTAATTTACCATCATTGTCATTATAATGTTTGTAGTATAAAGCACTAGAAGCATTCCTGTGATCGTTCTGATCAGTTTGGGGTCTGAAGAGTGGGTTCCTTGGCAGGGGGACTGGGTGCGGTATGTTGTCATGAAGGTAGAGCGCGTCAAACGGTGCGGTGGCGGGCGGCTGGTCTTGGCCCGCGGCGGCGGGCTCTAGCTGGCGCTCCGCCACGTACAGTAGCACGCGCGGCGCTCCCGCCACGCCCGCCACGCCCGCTCGCGGCGCGGCCACACTCGCGGGCTTGTCTGACATCTCGCACACTCATCACACTCCGCATACGCCAGCTGCTCACTAGCTGAACGCGACCAGCGACGATCCACCGACGGTGGTGACGAAACTCGACCTAGCATCTCTATCCGCCCTCCGATCATCGCACCACGGCCTCACTGCAATCCCCGACCATTCCACCATCCTCAACCGGACACTTTTTATGTACAGATGTCATGAATAGTATCAGTAAAGACTTTATGACGGGCTATTGAAACAAGGACTAAGTAAGTTTTATGGCGGTGCTCGTTTCGGCCCCATTGTGAAACCACTGAATAAGACAGGTAGGCAATATATTTATGCTACTGGATTTTTCTTTAAACTAGGATCCATATTGACACTGGGACTGTAAAAAGGTCAAAGGAAAAACGTTGCTTTCATCGTAAAATACTAGTATCACTAACACTGCAGTAACACTTCTTAAACTTTTAAGTTAACCACGTACATGTTGTCGAAACAAACACTTAATAGCTAAAATTACTTTCTTCTAATCGTAAGCGATGCTTACGAGGTGACACAGTACGAACGAACATCATTACGACCGACGAATGAAAGATCCTGAGATATTATACGCGACTAATAAATATAGTCAACTACACTTATTTCTTTAAAGCACTCAAATATACACTTTACGATTGGTAGGGTTATAATATAGGTTATGGCTACCTTGGATGGCTAAAATGACCAATAATGACGCCCGACTTATAACCCAATTTACTCGTGATTGGCCACAATTGCTATCTTAGGATAAACTACCTACCTACAGTCTCGTAAGAGTCAATTTTCGAATCGGAAAACAAAACAGAAATGTTTAGAAAGAGACATTGCAACAAATCTAACGCTACCTAGTGACTGTTTATGAAACGATGTGACACAAGAAACTGTTTTACCCAAAACGTCAATGGAATTTTCATTTCAGTAATTAGGTACTTTCATTTATACATGATGATGATGTACATACATAAAATATATTTATTTGTATAGTGAGTTCCTAGCTCATTACTAAATAACTTTAGCAGCGACCTCCTAATATTTTGTGCAAGGTAATAGTTATGTTAGGCATGGGCGAAAAATATCGATATATAAAAATATCGGTTTTTCCATAAAGTTATCGATACTTTTATCGCCGAAAATTTTTATCGCGATATATTTGTATTTGAAATTTAGTTTAGACTATCGAATTCGTGTCAATTTCGATATATTTTAACGCAACTTTGATTTCGTGTTTAATGTTACTAGATACTCTTTCAATGCTCCTCGCGCATTGTTAACCCTAAAAAATCATTTCAACTATTTTCTTCGTCTATTCTTTTTTACGAATTGAATGGTTTGTAAATATGTATAAACAATCACAAGAAAACTGACGATATATCGATACCTTTTCAAAATGCCGATACGATATATTTTTTTACTTGCTCATACCTAATGATGGTTTTTGTCAATGTTGCCACATTGTAAATCATTATTAAGGTAATCTAAGGGCAAAATAAATAAACACAGTTTAATTTTTTAAAATAAAATGTAACGTAATAGTTGTAATTAGGTTAAAAAAATAAAATTACACTTAATCCCACTTGCCTTTCTTCTTTGAGAAAATATGCAAATATTGGATTGTATTCATATTTCAACTTTTGAATGGCCATATGGCAAGCTATCTTTATCTTCTTCTTTCTATGCTTCTTAAGCTATATTTTTTTAATACCGCTCTCTTTCATAGTTTCAAACTTCAAACAATATAGATCAGACCAAACGTAGTGATCAGACTAAAAGTAGTGATTATATTCTCTTTGGATCAGACATTAGACAATCAGACATTGACAAACCTAGATAAGAGTAAGACATTTAGATTATATACATAGATTGACAAATGACAAAATATACAACCACGACACGCGTTTAAATTGAAGAATATTAGAGCTAATATATTTTTCCTAGAACAAAACGTCGTTTTATTAAATATAAAAATGAAAAGAAAGAACACATATATTGATGAACAGGAAAACAAGTAAGTCATTAGATTTTGATAGGTTATTTTCTTTTAAAACGCTATGATATTTATGTCAAACGCATTGAGAATGTACAAAAGAGATTCTTGTGGCACCTAACATTTACTTGTAATTTAGCTAAAACTCTGAAAAGCTATAAAGATCGTTTGGACCACTTTAAACTCAAATCTCTTTGTCCGTAGAAAATTCATTGATATTATGTTTCTGTTTAAAGTAATCAACGGTCACACAGACACAATTAGTCTGCTGTCTAAATTATCTATTTGTGTACCTAGGAAATTGCCAAGATCACTAAAATATGTTCCATTTGTACAAAAGGGTCTAATTTGGGGCATCACTCACCATTAAATAGGATAATAAGAAGTTACAATGATGTTCATAATAAATGTATTGATGCTGACCCAATTGACCACGGTGGTAAGAAGATAATGAATGCTAAAACAGCAGCCATCGATATATTTGCAAAAAGTTTATATGTATTTAAGAAAAATATTGCGAAATGCTTAGTATAAATTTATATCATTTTATGTTATTTTTATGTCGACTATTGTTAAAAATTTATTATTGTCTAAATTTTAGTATTGTTTCTTCCAATGTTATTAATTTATTATGTAATCAAAATATTTCACAGACGTTTACTTTTACTCCTATGTTTATTATAACATTTTCGATTTCACCTTCATATGTGTATAATGTAATGATAATGTAATGAATTGTGTTTTTTTTTTTTTTGGATTGATTTGAATTGTATTAGTTTAATCGTTGTTTTTTCAATGCTTAAATAATCCTGTTTCTCATGCAAATACCACATTTTAATTGAAATGTCGTATACACCTATAATTGAGGTGGCACTTAACATGTTTTTCCATTGTTTATAATTAGTGTACACTTAAATTTTTTCAGTGTCCATTTCGTTGGTGTATCAAATAAATAAATAAAAGCTTCATTAACTTTCCTTCAACTGTTTGCATTTGTCTTTTAAACTTATAGTTTGTAGATCATATTATAATTTATTCGATTTTTATTATACTTCCACCAATCTATTAGATTTTTACCATTTTATTGAAATATATTGATTATGCATACATTTTTATTGCAGGTTATCTTCAATACTCTTTAGTAAATCAAAGAAATTTTCTGAAAAACTATCAAAAGAAGTTGAGACATTCAATGATGAAGAACATAAACCAGTATGGTTTGATGAAGATGATGAGCAGCTTCTTTCACACAGTCCAAATATAAAAGAGAAACATTTATATACAAATAAACTTAAGGAAAAATATGAAATGTTAATGGGTACACCCAGTTGGGCACGTCTAGTTAAAAAAGATATGCAAGATGAGGATAATAAGTTGTTAGGTGTTGTTGGACACTTACAGAAAAAAAAGCTGCCAGGCCTTAAAAAAGACCTTTTAGAAATAAAGAAGTTTCCAAAAGTTAATGGTGAAACAGGAAATGAGGGACCAGTCATATCATGTATTGAATTTCACCCAAAGATGAGTGTAGTGCTTGTGGCTGGGCAATCTGGTGTAGTTTCATTGTTTTCTATTGGTGGGGATATCAATACAAAATTGCACAGTTTCAAGTTAAAGAAATGGAAGGTCACTTCAGCTCAGTACACACCAGATGGATCACAAGCTTTTATAGCATCTAAATTAAGCCACAGTTATTGTGTATATGACTTAGTTAAAGCTGAACCGAAACTAATACATTTACCAAAAATTGTGAAAAGACCAAACATTTTTAAACTGTCGTCTGATGGCAAATATCTTGCAACAAGTGATGGTTTAGATGAGGTTTATATAATTTGTGCCAAGTCTAAAGAGCTTATTAGGTCATTAAAGCATAACAGCAATGTTGAATCTATTACATTTAGTCCAAATTGTGAAAGGCTATTTTCTTATGGTGTACATGGTGAAATCGCTGTCTGGGATATGTCAACATTTAAGGTTTTAAATAAATTTTATGACCAAGGTTGTGTAACAGCATCAGAAATTACAACCAGTCCCTGTGGAAGACTATTGGCAACAGGTAGTGGAGAAGGTATTGTAAATATCTATGAGATGTCCAACTCAATTGGTTCTGATCCTGTGCCTATAAAAACAATATCTAATTTGACAACTAAAATTACTAACTTAACATTTAATGCAACAACAGAAATACTTGCATTGTCATCAGGATACTTTCCTAATGCTGTCAAATTAATACATTTACCATCTTACCATGTGTTTTATAACTTTCCCCAAAAGACAAATTTGTATCAAGTAGAAAAGGTTAGTTTTTCACCCAACAGTGGTTATATGGCTCTTGGTAATAACAAGGGCTGTGCTTATTTGTACAGACTTAAACATTATAAGAATTACTAATATTATCATCTTTTATTATCTCAAATCTTACTCCTGTATATTTTGTGAAGAAATTACCTTTCATTGAATTTGTAAATTTGTGTAGATTGTATTGTTTACGCAAATACACTGTTGTCTATTTCTACTATTAATTTTTGTTGAGTCAATTATTTGCACTATCGAACACAGAGTGGTTGAAATTTAACCATAATTAATTTAAATTATAAGTTTCAACAATATTAATCTATTCTTAATAGCCCAGTCAAAATAGACATTCAAGATTCGCAAAAAGCTGAAAATTGGCATGAATGTTGGGAGCACTATTACAAACAATTTGTAAAAATCCCCATCGATCCAGAATCCGTGTGCAAAAAATTTATTCAAGGTTAAATATTACAAAAATCGTTTTTTTTGCATTTTTCAGCTAAACGGCAAGTTTTATCATAAAAATTGCTAGCACAAAATTGTTCATTAGGCAATTATCTAAAACTTAACTGTGGCACTCGGGACTGCCGCACTAAAGCTATCGCATAACATTTTTTATCAAGTTATGCAATTATAATTATTTATTTATGCAGTATTTTTTCTTTGATATTAATTCAAGTTACACTTTTTGAGTGTGGTGACTGATAAGAAAACAATTTTTTTTCTTATATTGAATAAATGAGAAGTTAATATTGTTTAAAATATTTTTATTATCTTACAATAAATGTAGGTTATTCAGGAATTTTTATCATTAAAACTATAGGTTTATGGTAACTGAAATAAGAAACAAGTTTAAGACTTAATATCCTCCAAATATCATATCATCATATTATGATAATATAATATTATAATATCCATCCCTGTATGCTTCGTACAGTCGTACCATATACATACACGTTAAACGAACGTTAGACCGAGCTAAATGGTAGGCGGAGTGGGGGGTGTTAGGTTTTATTTTCGTTACGGAATTTCTTGATCCGGTCGCTGCGCACAAAGCCCGCGATAAAAGCTATGCAATAGCTTAAAAAAACTCAACTTTTCCGAATTGGGGAACCTAAGAATCACCATTTCGGATATATAGCGATGCAAAAAGTTGTGTTCTTTATAAAATGTATGTTTCCGCGCCACCCATGAGGCACTTGGTGAGTTTTTTTAACGTGGTTTCTCTGGTAGGCCTATTCCACGATCATTAATTTAAAATAGTACTATAGGGAATAATGAAAGTGGTGTAAGTTATAATTAATTTTCGAAGTTATTTATCTGATTGATTTTCTTCTTCCTGCTGGGTACAAGTCATTTGTTCAAAGAGAGACGCGTCAGATGTCTCCTCGCATATATCGTAAGAATCCTCTTCTACTGCAAATTCCACATTCGATCGGCCTCGACAACTGATACCTGCTCATGAACAAAACAATCATATTATATATTCATAATCATAATATATATTTTGTAATTGCAAAAAGTTGTATTGACGAGTTTTTCTGGTGCAGGTGGGAGTAAAGTCTGAACTGATTAATTAACTTCAAACCCCAGTCTTCTGGGTCTAGTTTATTACCAAGCTCCACTTGAACTTGATAGTATACCTGAAATAGACGTTGATGAGCAGAGGTTGGAGGAAGACAAGCTAACTCGTTTTTTGTTATGTATGAGTATTTTACAAAAAATTAGTATCGAAACTTATCTTTTTTTTTTGGAGCTCCGTATACAGAAAGTACAGATACAAAAAATTCCGTTAGTGATTACAGCTAGTGGAGTAGAGGACTTTATTTAAAAACGTCAGCACAATCGACTAAATCTTGTTTCTCAAACAATTTCAAAACTGATGTCGTGTCGCCTCACAAAAGGAGCAGGTATATTGTATCTTAATTAACATCGTACATTACAAACCGAACACAAAAAGTGGTAGGGATATATCTATCAATCTGATATCGTTCGTTTATCTTCTGGTTTTCCCCAGAGATTGATACTAGGCTCACTTCTATTTATATTATACAGGGAGGCTTTTCTTAGTGTATTCATATTTTTTAATTAAATTCTAGAGAAATAATGTTATATAAAAATGATAATTATTTTAAATCACTCGTTAAGTAATTAATTACATTCATTTGAACTTATCTCAAAAAGTGCGTGATTTATACGCAACTCATTCATTTTACGCGCGATCATTCATAACTAACACGCACACAAGTTCGTTTGTGTTCGTGAACAGTAAAATTTAGGTATTTATGAATGACTACCGCGTTCTCAACAAGTTCTATTTTTTAGGGAATAGAACGGCAATTTTTTTTTTAAAGTTTGTTTTTTGTTTCTATAAACGATTGTACTACCGAGTCTGAATCTTCTGTGTAAATTTGGGCACCTTTAAAGAGCCTCCCTGTATATAAATGATATTAAAATCTGTTTTAAAAACACCAATTTTGTGTTATACGCGGACGATTTGAAGTATATAAACCAATTAATAGGTTTAGAAAGAAAGACTGAGATAGGCTGAGAAAGACTGCGAGATGTTCCATGAAGATTTAAACAGACTCATAACTTATTGCAAGAAAAATAAACTTCAACTTAGTATTCTTAAAAGCAACTATATTCATCTTACCAAAAATAGAAATATTATTAAATTTCATTATTATCTCTGTCACACTGTTTTGAAGAATATTTCAGTTGTTAGAGATTTAGGAATTTTGCTTGACAGGAAACTTTCACTTAACCAGCATGTCGAGTCTATTATTAATAATGCGTATAAAATGTACGGATTTGTAATGAGATCATCGACGGAGTTTAAGAGGCCACAAACATACATTTATCTCTTTAAAACTCTTATACGCTCCCAACTTGAATATAATGTACGGTACCAATTTGGAAGTTAACGAGATCGAGAAGATCCAACGAAAGTTTCTTCGCTCCATGCAATATAGATGTAAAAAATCCAATTTATCATATTCAAAATTATTAAACATTACATATTTAGAACCTAATGTATTACATATAACTGACCATACGTCCCGTTTTGTCCATTTTCTCGGACAGCTATCCCTTTGTCCCCGAACAAATCTTCGGGACGCAAAATTGTCCCATTTTCCCAAACCACGTGCAATTTTAAAACCACGCTCGTCAGACATGATCATGAGCAGCGCGGAACCGCGATCGGTTATTCCCGGTTATTCCCCGCATGTTTTTCATTAAATTTGTTCAGCAATTTTCATTTGTTTCTTTCAATAGGCTAGCCACGCGCATGTATTCTGACTTCTTTATGTTTAGTGTAATGTTCGTTAAATAGTTTTGTAGATAATTTGAAGTTTTTATTGTTTTTACATTTTTCCGATAGTTATGGCGAACCCCAAGTGTTCATTTAATGCCAACCCACAAACAAAATACCCATTTATTAAGCAAATTAACACTCCTTCGGATGTCAGATGCGAAAAGTGTCGCACAGTTTAGTGTTTCCAATTGTGGTGCTGGTGATATTGAACAGCTCCAGTTCTGAAGGCAATGTTGGTAAAAAGGCAACATACAACGTAAAAGAACGTGCCAAATTTTATTCTTATTTAAAATCGTCACCTTCTTTATTAAAACAAATTTGTTTCTATAAGAAATATAAATATATTTAAAATCATACCAATGTTGTTTTGATAACAATAGTGAACTGATGATTTTTTTTGTATCTATTAATTTTTAATCTTTTCGGAATAAAGAAAATTAAAGTTATGTTTATTTTCATTGTAAACCGATGTCCCGTTTTGAGATAAAAAAGTGGTCAGTTTAATTATATAGTATTGTAGATTTGCTATGTAGTTCCTGGTACCCATAAACGAACAGTTCGCCCGGGCACTCTCTTTGCCACCAACACTTGCCGAACAAATTCAGGACTACGATGTCCTATACAACATATAAGTTTAAATCATATACAGTAGAATCCGCTTATTATGACTCCGCCTATATTGACGAACCGTTTAATATGACGTAATTACACTACGAAGTTTGGTTTTCATGTAAAATTCTTTATAAAAAAGTCGGATATAATGACTTCTCTTACAGTGACATGTCGCTTATTATGGACCCATTTTTAATAAATTATGTCCGGTTATAAAGACCGACATGGTTCTTTACACCTTCGGTAATGTTCTTTGATTCCCGACGACCTTCAGCACGTGGCTCGTTTGAATCTCAGTGAGTAATTGACACTTAATAAAGGTCACGCATTGTTTTTCGTTTGTTGTTTGTGTTTGCATTGTATGTATGTACTGTGAAAAAAATGTCATCCAAACGCTGTAAAGCATTTACGATTGAGGAGAAAGGTGCAATAATATGCAGATCAGAAAATGAGAATCAAACTCATCTCTCGCTTCAGAACTATAATCTCGATTTATTCGTAGCAATATTGAAAATGATAATTTGATCATGGCGATGTCTTCTATACACAATAGTATTAGGGACTGTTTTTACAATAAAATGAAAAAACAAAAGCAGTCAAAAATTAAGATTACCTACATTAAAAAATATGTATGTACTGCATTACGTGCAATTGTTATTTAGATTTAATATGTATGTATACATACTATGTTTCTCTATTAAAATACTTAAGTACATATTTACATAAAAAAGCTGTTTTTTCACAAAACGGTTTGTATGACGTCCGCTTATTATGACGTGTTTTTCAATTCCTTTCGATGTCATAATAAACGGATTGTACTGTACTTAACTCCAATTTTGTTGATATTAATTGCAATTTGCATGCTCTAAATCTAAGTATAAGAACCAAATAGCTTCCAAATTAAATAAGTTAAGCATTACTTTTTAATAATTATGTATTTTAAAAGTTTTTTTTCTTTATCTTTGTGCTATATATTATTTGTATTTTTTTTATTGTAACGTATCTAGTAGCTTGCATTAAAATAATATTGTATGTTTAATATGTGGATAATGTAGTTGGCTGCAATATTATTACTACATCAATCCAACAGATGTTTATATTATATATTGTAGCTGTTTGTTATCCCCAATAAAATAAAATAAAATAAAGGTATGCAGCGTCGCCACACGGACCATTGAATAGCAGACAGATGTTGCTCAAGAACGTACGGTCATATAAAATGAGGGTCTGGATTTTTTTTCGAGATTCTCAGAACTATATAATACTAACTTCTCGCCCGCGCGCGTTGAAGCCCTTAAATAAATATGTTACAACCCTTTACAACACTTTTCCAATTAAACCCTATGTCCTTTCTCAGGCTCTAGACCAAGGATGAGCAACGCGCGGCCCGCGGGCCGCTTGCGGCCCCTTAAACATGTTTATGCGGCCCGCCAAGCATTTCTAAAATTGAATTTATTTTATCGAATTTCTCCCATCAATATATTGTTATAAAATTAATTATAATAAAATGGTAGTACCTACTGAAACGAAATATTTTTTTTGTTCGTTTTTCTGTTCTTTTCTTGTTTGTTTTTACCTTGCATTAAAATTTGTATATGAAATCTGTACTTTTTTAATTTTATATTTTTTTTATTCTAATATTTATTATAAATAAAGTTTCGTAAATTATTATGTGCGGCCCTCCAAAAAAATTTAAATTTAAATTGGCACGTTGATTAAAAAGGTTGCTCACCCCTGCTCTAGACTATCTGTGTACCAAATTTCATTCTTCTCTTCTTTTCGTGTCGATGGCAATACCTATTTACACGACATCGGCCCAAAATTCAGCCACATGAATTGCATTGTCATTAGCATTCATCAGGTCCTCCTGCGTGCAGTTGGTTGGGCACGCAGAGCACGACGTCAAATGTTCCATGGTTTGGGGAACAGCACCACATTTGCACTCCAAGCTGGAACCGTCTGAGAATCCCCACCTGAACAAGTTCTCTTTACTTCGGCCCACTTTCGTCCGAAGCCTATTTAGAGACTTCCAAGTCAGCCATGGAAACTCATGTCCAGGCGGTAGTTACAGTGGTACAAAGGGGCTAGGGACATTGACACTTTCGTGCCACAGCCTGCATTTTTCCTTAGATCGGTCACTATCGTGAAGAGGAGGCACACACTTCATGTAACTTCTACGGCTTTTCAGTCTTTGTGAAACGAGATCGTGACTGAACAGTGGATTGCGGGTGTCGCAGAGTATCTTGGTCTTTTCGTAAGAGCTTGCCACTGCTCTGCGCACCACCGGGGGTGCTATTCCAGCTAGCGTATACAGCATTTGTACCGGAGTCGGTTTTAAGCAACCTGTAATAATCCGACAGGTTTCGTTTAATGCTGTATCCACCAGTTTTGCATGGCCTGAACGGCTCCATACTGGACCAGCATATTCGCCTGCAGAGAAGGAAAGTGCCAAACCAGTGGTTCGAAGAACATCAGGAGAGGCTCCCCAATTCGAAGTAACCAGACGGCGCAAGATTGATGTTCTCGCAGTTTTTCCTGTACGTTAGTGACCTATCCAGAAAGACACCCAAATATTTGGGATGGTCGACATTTAAAAATTAATGCCAAATTCAAATTTTCAAAATTCATTCAAATTTCATTTAAATCGGTTCAGTTGTTTTTGAGTAAAAGGGAGACAGACAGATAGTTAGTTTCGCATTTATACTAGTATGGATTTCGAGGCGTATTACCTTGTATTACCGTTCTGTAATGTATAAACCGGTCATTGACATAGATATGATGAAGAACAAAACATTTTCAACTATTTGCATCGCTATATCTTAGAGATGGTGATTCTTAGGAAAAAAGTGTAGACAGTTTTTTATATTTTTTGCACACGTCGGATCGATGGGGATTTTTGACAAATTGTTTGTATTAGTGTTCCCAACATTCATGCCAATTTTCAGCTTTGTGCGAATTAATGTAACCTTAACCCTGAAGCTAATTAATTGGGCTACAAATACAATACACAACAAACAAAAGAGTATCGTGTGTGTGTCAAATACATGGTAGTGTTTGTAATGTTTTCTATATTGATTTAACGTATTTTTATACATAATTAAAAAAATATTAAGCATTCTGCTTTCCTTCTAATATATAAAATTCTGTAATTAAACTCCTCCGAAATGGCTCGAACGATTTTGGAGAATCGAACAACATCTATTTTTCATCCCCCTAAATGTTTGGGTGGTCCACCCCTAATTTTTTTTATTTTTATAGAAAATTTTGTTTTTATTTTTTTATCATAAAGCATACAAAAATACATACAACCCTAAATTTTCACTCCTCTACGCAGACGTAGTCGCGGGCAGCAGCTAGTCTCTATATAAACTATAAGAGTGAGAAATTTCATACACCTATGACCGTGCAATTTTCTATAAAAAGGTTCAGTGTAAAGTTTAAGTTTTACTCATAGATTCTCTAAAACTGCATAACTACCCAAAAAGTATAAAAAAAGGTCTGCAACCCCATTGAATACTATCAGTTTTAAATTTAAAAACTGTAAAAGTAAAAAACATGTCTAGATGGACAGGCCACCCTTACTTTTTTTTAACATCCAGTCTTGATTTCATTTAAACCATTATTTATTTGGTTATTTATTTCCTATGACATAATTCTGATGCATATATGAAATTCAACCAATTCATATAGGAAATAATAAATGAATAAATAAAAAAACCTTGACACTTGAGACAGAAGGTTTATTTGTATGCATATTAAAATTACAATAAAATTTAAGCTGTTTGATTTTCTACCAGAATAGTCATAAGAGAAGTATACCTAGGGTCAAATTTTGCATGTTTATGTTGCCATGTATCAACAATTATTCATGTGTACAGAAATGAAATTATTTGTTAACCGATTTTTGGCTGTTACATGTAAATTATAAAGTGAAAAATGTCTATGAAAGTTATACAATATGATAACTTACTACCACATAAATTAATCTAAAAGTATGAGAGCCTGTTTCACCACATTTAAAACACCACCAGATAAGCTATTAGCAAGAATTGTTACAAACACCATAAAACAAACAGAGTACTCAATAAGTTGTGAAACAAGGCTCTTTTGATTATTGAAATCACAGAATTAATTGAATGTTAGTAAAATATGCTATTTGCACCTTATACAATGGACCTACTTTTATTTACTAAGATTACATTAATTACCAATAAATGTTCAACTTTCAACTACATCTGCCTCATTGGCAAAGGCTGAAATGCACTGGCAAAAAAGACCATATTAATCAATGAACGCAAACATACACGGAAGCTTTATTGGTGGTCTAAAATGACAATGAACAACTATAGTCATGATGGCGCGGGGCAAACTATACCACAGGGCTGTTTTAGGGATGTAGACTTAGTAGAAGTAACAAATAAATTAATTGTTGTTTTACAGCGCGAAATAACTGTCAGTGAAAGTTGTGATGCTATTTATTAGCAATCACTTGTATGAACAAGCAGCTTCCATGTCTTAGTAGCGTTCATTGATATTATTTTTTTTTGGATCTTAATAAGATTAAAGCAAACACAAACCAGAGTAACTGTAATTTCATATTTTATAGAAATATCACACATCTAATATTTTTTTGTGAATTTCTTAAGGGTCTAGTGAAATACTTTAACAATTTGAATAATATGAAGACTATAAATGTGGGATACACTGCACCAACATTGTTCTATACCAAGCTTAGTGGTCAACAATAACTTAATGGCAATGGAGAAATTAGTGTATGTGAAGCAGTGCTGCATTAATCCCCCATTAATGCATTATTACAATTGAAGAAGATATAAATGAAATTTCCAAGAAACAAATTACTAAAAGAATTATTTATGGACATGTAATCAACAATCAAATACTAACAAAAAGTACATACATGTAAATAATATTTTTTCTTTCAAATATTACCCTCACAGATGTTACAGAGCTTCTTCCTCAAAATATTATTTGGAATGGTTTTATACTACTTGCTCTTCATTTTTCAGTTGAATATGTAAGAGAATTACACCGATTGTGCAAGGCTGCAACCACAGCTAACTTCACAACCACCATTAAGTTAACAACTTACACAAGGCATAAATATGTTCACATTGGAAAACATTTTAGAGCAGCTAGCTTTATGTTTCATCAGGATATAAAACGTTAAGTGAACAGTTTTTTAAATTGCATCATTTAGACATTGATAATTTCTTGTATTTACGCGATTACACATTATAAATGAAACTAATTTTTACGTATATCGCGTTTATTTTCAATTTTAATTCCCGACGTTTCGAACCCTTTACGGCGTTCATGGTCACAGGACAGACTATGATAATCAGACGTCCAACGCAGTCTGTCCCGTGACTGTGAACACACGAAATTAAAAATAAACACGATAAATCCATAAAAATTAATTTCATTTATAAATTAAATTTCCAAGAAATTTAAGAATAATATGGTAATCAATTGAGTTGAGAAATCATTGGATTAAAAAGTTTTATGGACTAAACATGTTTACTTTATTCTATGAAATTGGTATTTCCTTCTAATGATTAATTAATGCTTATATTGAATTGAATATGTTTTAGGTAAGCAGTGTTTTATATATATTTGCAAAACAAATTTGCTTTAAACTACATGATGTTAATCAATTTGAAAATTACCTATACAATTTTCAAACTGATGAACATCTGTTTTTTTAATACTGATGCCACACAATGCACTAAATACATGTGATGTAACTGAACCTGTTTCTATTATTTTTGAGTGTCATTATGGTGGAATATCTATAAGCATGCCCCATAGGTCCATTCATGGTGCCTTGTGGTTATGTAATGTACCGACAACTTAGCTAGTAGCACATTGTACTCTGCTCATTCCCGGATGCTCTTCATCTTCTTCATATGGGTTGCTATGATGAGCACGGCGCCTACGATTTTCTTGCTCTGGATCCAACTCCATTAACTGACATTCTTCAGCCAATTCTGGTATGTCAACCTTTAAATAAAAAAAATATAATACTTCAGAATTTGTCATAAGCCATGTTATATAATAACTATAAATACTTCTTCATTAATAATTATTATTAAATAATAAATGATATAGTAATTTGACTAAAGGTTTGGGAATTTAATCTATGTTCAAGATCAGTCATCTCAAAGAGTATTTCAGCCTTGGAGCTTTTCCAATTAGAAAAAGTTGATCACAATCCCTCAAGTAAATGTATATTCATTTATGTTTAAATAACTTCCTTTCTTTTTCACAGGCCAATTTTATTTTACATACTTTCAAGACCCTTTGAGGTTACCATGAACAATGGGAATTGGTACATACTCACTTCTTTTCATACTTAAAAACCTCATGGGAAACTTCACTAGAAAAGCAAAAAATATAAACATCAAATCTTACCCTTGGTCTTGGTGGCAGGCAGTTTTCTAAAGCAGGAATGATTTCAGGTGGAATGCGATTTGGGAAATTAACCAGGAATTGCATAATAAGCTGACCCTTTTCAAATGGATTTTTGTACATTGGCATACCTGAAATGTGGTATAATTTGGTACTATAGTTTTTAAACTGAGAAAACTGTTAATATTCTTTGTAACATTATTACATTACATTTTATTTTACCTTTGCAATAAACAAGTACCTAGTAGAATAAAAGAGACCCAACCGACTGTATCATTGCTAAAATGATTGAAAAGGACAATATAATGCTTGAATGGAACATTTTTCTATTCACCTTTACAACTTTTCCACAAAATGCTAAAAGATCTAATTAACATATTGATAGATGTAAAAAATAAGTTTATAAAGAGTTATAAAACTATCTACAAACCCTCATTCAGCACACATTTCACTTCTCCATGTTTGGTGACCTCACCAGGTAGCACAGTTATGACTATGTCTCTATCATCTAGAGTTCTTATAACTTTCTGGAATCCACATAATGACTCCACTAGCTCTATATTTAAACGGACAATCAGATCATTGCCAGAACGTTTGAAAACCTGTCAAATTAAATCATACATAAATCTTATGTAAACGTAAAAACAAACAAAAAAACAATTATACATAAGTTCCAATTATACTATTGAATCAAAAATATGAGCCTATATTGCATACACACAACTATAAATATTTAAGGTACATGTATAATACACAAGGCAGGAGATTAAGCATGACCTACTTCCTACTGCCTTTTTCATTAATTCAATTAATTAATCAAAGTATGTCTAGTTGTTTGACATCTTGTATGAAACAGAGACAAACACATAATTTGATTTTTACTAAATTTTATACCACCATTATAATTAATGTATATACCATTATTTAACACAATAACTGCGGAACTAGACTTAAAAAGAACTTTGTACATGTTGCGATTGTAGTGCACTAAAATCTAAAATGTTCTATTCAACAAGAGTGTTTTGGTATACTCGTCATAATACGGGGTTTTTGAGACCTAGTACCACACTACAAAAATCACTTAATAATATAAATCGCTTATTTGGACAGAAGGTTTAATTTTCTGAAACTCTGGTCAAATGACCCCGTATCACAATTCAGTTAGTTTTAGTTCAAGGCTTAATACATCTTGTTCTGTGGTAATGGAAAGTATCGAAAAATTTGTAACGCTGGCAACATGTTAAAAAAACTACTTTTTTATTTGTTAAAGTAACTGTGAAGTTAAGGCTAAATTGTTTTATTTTTATTTTAAAAAAAAATCTGAATGCTGTTACAATTTACAAATATATGTTACAGTCAATCAAGACACTTGAAACAAATAATTTGAAATTAATATTTGGGACTGAAGTTTCAAATCATCTAAACTATACAGCGTGTTGTTACCATCGCGACAATAAATGAACACACTTCTAACGCTACTTACCAATAATCATAAAAAAATATTAACATTAAAAAAATCCATAATTAAAAAAAATATTTTTTCAATGAAACTAAAAGTAAAAAAGAAACAAAATTTGTAAAATCCTATACAACTACAACTGACTGACTCATACATTCAGAGACTCATTTTTCATTTGTTGCCACAGCGCCGCATTACAAGCCTCTCCTTCTAACAGTATGTTTTGTCTCTTTTAAATTCATTCAACCCATTCAATGCTTTGTGACCTTTACGAATGAACTTTACGTTACAGTTTTATACGTAAGGGTGTTGTAAAATTCTTTGTTTTGGAAAATTTTATAACTCTGTAAATATTGATGTTTAAAGAATGTAAATGTTTAGTACAATTTTAAAAAGTTATCCTCTCTATGTGTGTTAATTTATTGTCGCAATGGTAAAGACATGATGATAAGACTGTATATTACAGGGAATAACTACTGTTAAAATTTTGTAAACTTACTTCATGCTCCTTTTCATCTAACACAATAATTAGATCTCCTGGTTCCAAGTCAGGTTCTTGATCACCCTCTCCACTAAAGACAATCTTCTGTCCATCAGTCATGCCCTTGTCGACATGAACCTCAAGAATTTTCCGGTCACGAACAGTTTTTCTTCCCTGAAGAAAGTGGATGAAGTAAAAATTTTTTGTCAAAATTGTTTTCAATAAAATTCTAAATTAAAACAAACATTTACCAAGTTCTTAATGAAATAATAAGAAATTTTAATCTTAAAATGACTAACAGCACTTAACTGAAATATAGACAAGTACATAATGTTGTACATATTTGTGATATATCAACAATGAATGTTTCTGTTTTTACAAAATATTATAGCAGAACTCATGTTTTATTGATGTATGTACCAACTACTTTTGGACCTATCGGTGTTGGTTCATCTGAGAGATGAGCTCGTAGATGCACACCATCTTGCACTGAGTGCAAGAGTCGGTACATGCTTCAATTAAAAATGAGTTCAACAGTCTTATTATTTCATTACGAAAGTTTTAATAATTTTGTTCATTTATTTTCTTTATTTTTGAATGGCTTAAACTAAAATCTAAAGATTAAACATAAGTACATGGGTAAAATACCTGGCAAACTTTGCAGCGGTCCTTAGGATCAATGATTTCCCTTTGTCCTCGGCATTCAGAACATACAGTCTGAATTTGTTGAATCATACCAGGTGCAAGCTGTTGGATTTGAACTTGCATTCCAGTACCTCGGCAGGTTGGGCATGTTTGAACTGCACCCTAAAAAGATAAAATGTTAGACCCAATATTTTTTTCAAAAATATGTTTTATTGTATGCAGTTTTTCCTACATACTTTTTTTCCTCCCCTCCCTTCACATTTCTCACAAATGACATTCTTTTGTAGTGCTAATTTTCTAACAGCACCACGATACAACTCTTCAAGTGTTACTGACAGTTGATGTATGACATCTTTGCCCTTGCGTTCCCGTCCACGCCTGCGGCCACCACTGAAGCCACCTCCAAAGAACATATCAAACAAGTCCATAGGAGATGAGAAACCACTGCCACCTCCTCCCTCTTTCAAAGCTTGTTCACCTCCTAAAACACATAATTAAGTGTTTATTGTTGCCAAACCTTTTTGTAATGCAAATTAATTATGCATTCATAATCGTATCATAATCTATAATTACGTGAATAAAATCATTGAAAAGTTACCTTGATCGTAAATACGACGCTTGTCCGGGTTTGACAAAACTTCATAGGCTTGTGAGATTTGCTTAAAGCGTTCACCTTCATTTGGATTTTTGTCAGGGTGGTATTTGAGGGCCAACTTTCTGTATGCTTTCTTGAGCTCATCTGTTGTGCAGTTTGGTTTCACTCCCAATATATCATAATAAGTAGTCTCTTTAACCATTTTTGTTCCTGAAGAGAGCAAACAAGGAATATAATTAGGTGACCTATATTTAAATTTACAACATTAATATGTACTGAGAAATTGAATGTACTCTTAACAGTAATTATCGTAAAAAAAAATTAAACGGAACGTTAAGATTTTTCGATTACTGATAGTAATAGTCAATATAAAATTATTTTCATTACCAATCTCATAATCAATCCCGTTAAGTAAAAGAAAGTGCTAAATTTATTTTTAACTTTGTTTTAAATTATTTGCATATGTAATCTAGAAGCCATAGAACATCGACAGCATGGTGGTGAGCAAAATCGAATTGTATGGAAAAACATAGAAAGTCTATCGAATTAAGTTATAGCACTAATGCATTGGAATCAAAATTTATATTTGTTACCTTCTGATATTCACTTGCACGAACTCAATAAATATACGTAAATTTCCAGAAACTCCGTCACTACAATATACGTACGCAAGACAAAAGACGCACCCTTAATACCCGATAGTCAAATGACGTTTGTTGAATTGGATCGAAATCACTAATATGACTCTGGTTTGTCGTCATTCGCTAGTCGATGGCAAAAACGTGCTCTTTCCAGAATCTTCTAAAAGTGTTTCATTTTACGCATTCATATATCAGGTGTGATTTTAAATATACATGTTTCGAATTTTGCTTACTTAAAAATCAATTTCAATAAATGAAGAATGTTTTTTTTTTCGTAGTTAAACGATCCGCAAGCTCAGAAGTGCACATGAACAAAATTAGCGCCCGACGACGCCACGATAACGGCCTTCCATTCTACAGTAACCCTTGTTAACAAAAAATGTGGAGTATGGACAACATGAAACAGAACTGAACAGTTCGACTAACAGGAAGGGGCAAGACGCCCCAAGGGTCCCTCAGATGGAGGTTCGATCCTCGGCTTGTACCGCTAGCAACTTATTTAACGAAGATTAATAATTGAAAAGAAAGCAGCGTTTAGGCAAGTAATCTGTATGAAGTAATCATAAATTGTGGAGTCTCACTTTAAATAACAATAATAACACCTGTTATGCAAAATCTCACTTCACGTCTTGGTACACGAGATGTTTAGGCTACGAATTGAAGAGTTCCCATTAGACCATTGAGCTCAATCGAAATATTTATAGGTCGGCGTAATCTTGGATGCACGGTTCAAAGGGCTTTAGCCAATGGACTTAAGGGGTTAAAGACTTAACGTTAGAGAAATTGGACTGTTACTTTGAGAACATTGAATTCAAAGTTCTTTTTCCGCCAGAAATGCAGATTGCACTCGGCAATAGGCACGGCTTTGGATCGCTTGAAGCATTATCTTTAATAGTAAGTACTTTCGGTAAATGTAAATAACTTTAACTCCGGCGTAATTCAAATCAAATAAATTTTAAACGATAGAGAAAAATCACTTATGAATTTATCAACAAGCAGAATTCGGCGGTCGCTTCTAGTTTTCGAAAAAATAAATAATGAAATAGTGTGATTTTTACTATAGAAATCCGCCATTTTTTGTTGTCAATATGTCAATTCAGCTCGTATTTCTTGGTGGTCATAAAAAAAAAACCTAACATCGAAGGTTAAGGCGGGAGCTCCGCTCCCGCCTGAACCTTCTAACCTAATCTATCCGAGTCGGATTTGCTCTGTGTCGGTTCTGTGATTCATTAAATTAATAAAATCGGAATATCGATACGTGTATGATGTCGCCCGCTTCCTATATTTATCATATTGGCAGAACTGTGTATTGAGTTTTTGAAGTCAAACAAATCAAATGGTGGATTTCTTAGTACAAAAAACAAGTTTTAAATATTTTTTTTTTCTCGAAAACTATACGCGACCGCCGAATTCTGCTTGTTGATTAATTCATTAGAGATTTATCTCTAACGTTTAAAATTTATTTTAATTGAATTACGCCGGAGTTAAAGTTATTTACATTTACCGTACTTTCATATGATAGTCAAACCATCTGATTATTGACGCTTTTGCCCCATTTTGACGCCTTTACCGAGCACTCTTAATATTTCTCAAGAATATAAACACTATATTATAAAAATAGAGTAATTATTGTATATTATAGTGTTCTTTATAGCATCATCTGCTACATATCAAATTTTCATCCCACAGAAACACCTGCGTCCATGACATGCCATCATAGATAATTACTGTGGCATCAGTAATCACTGATCAGCGTACCGATATTCCGTCCGTTGTGTATCGTACATAAAAAAGGCCCATTTATGTAATAGTGTAGATTTAAATATTTTAAGTTAACTAATGCCAAAATAGTAGTTATTACCAAAATAGTAGTTTTTTTTTATTTGGTTCACAAACTGAATGATACATTTAATAAAAATTATGTTAATAAAAGTATTAAATATAGGAATACCAATATAATATGCAAATTCTACAAAAGTAAACACAGCATTCTACATTAAAAACTACAAATAAAACACCTCAAATACAAAAATAAAAAGAGAAATAAAGAATCTTATAAAAAAAGAATTAAAATTAAGATATTTAACTTTAGCTTACTTTACTACAAAAGCTCTTGAATCCGCATTTTATCAGAGGCTAAAGAACCATAAAACTGATCAAAGTTGAATCCCATACCATTACAAGACGATATCATTCGATAGAGGGGTGAGTGTTGCCCGATGTTTGTAGGACAGAAAGTTAAAGAAAGACATTTTTTGCTACATAACCTATTATTATTCCAAACACAAACAACAAAATTGATCTTAGTTTGGATTTCGGGGCAATCGACAAAGGTATTAACTGTCTTATTAAGAAATAAAACGAAAGTTTCGAAGGCTTTTGCTATTACTACGAAAACATAATCATACCTAAACTACATCAATTTATGTCAGGATTCTCCGATCAGGGCCAGGTTACCAGCCTACCAGAAAATTGCACTATGAAAAAAAAATAAAAATAACTGAATCAAGAACAAAGCGATTCGCTTCTTCATTTATCAGATAAGGAATGGAATATCCTGCCAGCGTCCGTCTTTCCGTCCGAATACAAAGTTGGCGTTTTCAAGGCAAGAGTGAATAGGTTTCTATTGAGCTAGCGCTCTTACCATCAACGGCTGCATCGCCAGCGCCACTTACCATCAGGTGGGATGGCTGTCAAGTGCAGAGTGCTAGACAGTTTTTGAATTAAAAAAAAAATTGATTTAATATCATGCAACATTATTCAAAATTCGTTGTTCAGCTTTAAATATCTCTAGATGGCGCTTATTTGTATGAATTGTTTTTACAAATTCAAATCACGATGCAAATTGAAGATGAAAATAATAGAACCGATGGTTTGTTATTTTGACTGACAAGCAAGCATGTGTAATGGCGAAAATTGGCGATAATAACGTCTCGTGTGGTTTGTGATATGATAACGTAACGTCAGTCTGCGAACACGTTTTAGACTGCGATTATAGTCTCATCGTTTCAGACTAGATTCGATCTCGGTAACGGGCGGTTAATGCGTGATCGCGAAAATATTGAATAAAGTAGTTTTTTTTTTATAATATTTCCTATATTGTGTATTATAACAATGGCAGAAAAGCAAGTAAAGAATAGAGTTTGCATTGTTGGATCTGGAAATTGGTAAGGTTTCTTTGTTTTAATTATAATTAGATTAGTTTTGTTTACCGTGACCTTAGTACTTTCTGTAAGATGACATAACGATTCTGTATGAAAAGGGGTTTTGTTTTTTATTAATCTATGAGATTACTATTAATTTATTTTTTCAAAATGACTGATTAAAATTATAATTTAGTCTTTAAATATTACAAATTTTATACATACATAAATATTATATCTATAGTTAATAACTAGAGGATTAAAATGTCCAATTTTTTCGCGGATATAAAACTTTTTAATTTTGTGCATTCATTTTTGTAATTTACCCATGAAGGTCATTTTCTTAAGTGTTAGAAATTATTACATAATATATAAATAAAATCTTATCTTACCTATTATCATTAGGGGTTCAGCTATTGCAAAAATTGTGGGAAAAAATGCAGCAAGACTCCCAAATTTCGAAGATAGAGTGACAATGTGGGTATATGAGGAGATGATTGAGGGAAAAAAGTTAACTGAAATCATAAATGAAACACATGAAAATGTTAAGTACTTACCTGGACATAAACTACCGCCTAATGTGGTAAGTTTCCCATTCATAGTTTCATATATTTTAATAAATCATATTATTAAATCTATGAAACATTAAATAATATAAAAAAATACAATAGAATCTTTACACTGTCTTTTAATATTTAGTATGTTTTTAAATATAAAAAAAATATGTTGAAATTTCAATGTAAATGTATCTTAACTAATAAGGAATAATCCAATTATATTAAGTACCTAGATGATCATACTTTGGTTTTCTTTTTCTCACAAAAGAAGGAACTTGAAAAAAAAAATTATCTGTCTCAAAGGGAAGGGATCTTCTGCTTTCTGGACCACATGATCACCACCGAGCTATTAAATCATTGTAGATAGTGGTGAAATTTACCTTCATGTTCTAATGATATTTTTCATTGCCTGAAAACATGGATAAAACAATGTCTTCTGAAAATGAAACCTAGCTAGATTGATTTATCTTCCCCGAAAACCCCGCATGCTAAATTTCATTACTCGTTTAAAGTATTAGATAGATTTAATTTAATCAGTAATATTGATTTTCCTGTTTAAAAGGTGGCCATTCCGGATGTGGTGGAAGCAGCTAAAGATGCAGATCTCCTTATTTTTGTAGTGCCGCATCAATTTGTGCGGACACTCTGTTCAACTTTGCTTGGTAAAATAAAGCCCACAGCCGCTGCACTATCACTTATTAAGGTACTTTGAAGGAGCTTAAAAGAGACTTCTGCAAGTGTTATTGCTTGAACAATTTCATCTCTATCATTGTAGTATGTTTTTTTCTCAAATAAGTTAACAAAGGAACTTCTAGTGCATTTGGGGAACTAATCTTCAATATATTTCCAAAGTCTTAGCCACTAGGCTACCTCTGCTGTGAGGCAAGTATGTAACTATAGTTGTGCTTCGTATATTGTATAGAAAATATTTTTGTAAATATAATAGCTTATATTGTCAGTACAATAGTAAACTCGCCAATCTAATATTTTGTAGTTTTGATATAAGTGTACTAATGTGTCTTAGTTGTGATTCATCATGTAAAAACGTGTTTTGGCAGTTGGCAATCAATCCTAAAAGGGCAGATTTGTCAGGGCGATTAGCACAGCCTTACAGAAAACCAATGGGAAGTAGAAGTTTTATACTTTTGGGTTTTATCCGCTGAGTGAGGTAACTAGGGCCAACTTTTTTAAGCTTGTCAATGCATCTGATCGCTTCCAGGTGTTTTAGATGTCCATGGACAGTGGTAATCAATTTATATCAGGTGAAACTTCACATAAAGAATAAGAGTTGAAGTAAAACTTAAAGTGTACTAGTATACTTTTGCCTTTTGTTTGATGGGTGAGGTAACATGAGCCTTTTCTCTTAAGGTTTACAACACAACTGCATTTGCAACTGGTATTGTGTTTTTGTGTATAATATTATAACCATTACTTTAATTCCTTTTAGTTGTACAATTTTAGATTTGCATAGTAATATTACAAATTACTACAATAGAGCAGTAGCATCCGTAGCTGAACTATGTTGTGGGAACCTGTATTTCGGATTTCGGCGCCATTCCCCGTTTCAACAAAAAGATACGCTGTGTTAGGCAGCAGCATCAGAAAAGCGTAATAAAAGGAAAAATATTAATAAGCTTGTATGGCGGCGGTGAACAACCAGCCCATTTGCCACCTTCTGCCATAAAAATAAATACTCGAGGGCTACTCACTTGTCACTGGCATACAACTCGATGCGTGCTTGGCAGGGTTTCGACATTGCCGAAGGCGGAGGCATTGACCTTATCTCCCACATCATCACAAGGTGCCTCAAGATACCTTGCGCCGTGCTAATGGGTGCCAACATCGCTTCCGAAGTGAGTACAGTATGCCTTTCTTGCGACGATTGCATAATGGCTACTGCCGTTAATTATGCATTCGTCGTTCGATTTTTTTTTGAAAGAATTTGTGTTTATAGCTTTTGCCTTTTGTCTATTAGTTTCTTTAGCTATAGAATAAAGAATATCCTAGCGTGTTAGCTTAGGGCTCCTTTTCGTAACGGAACAACCACTTCACACACAAGAATGAGGGACTTGTATTAGAGACTTGTTCGGGTCCTCGAATTTCGAATGTAATATTGCTTGTTTGCTTATAAAGCATGATGTAGTTTTAATGCGGATTGTATTTAAATGATAGTATTAAATATATCTGCTTTCATATGTTGTTAATGTATTTTTAACTGAAACGTTTGTTACGTGTAGTACAATCGGTGATTGTTATTGATGTTTTTGTACCATATTCATGTATTTTTATTATTAATTTCGAGTTTGCCTTTCGATAAACGCTTGAAATATTCGTTATCATACATTCACAGCAACAAAAAACTGCGAAATTATTGGACAACAATAATTGAAGCTTTAAAATATTTATTTTTCAACGCAATATGTACGTTTACAACGATAACAACTTCATCTTGCCTTGACTATAATATTGCATTGTTATACTTCATGACCGTCTCTAATAGTATCATAAACTTTGTTTTATAAAAACTGGTGTATGTTTGCTATGCAGTCAGTGGTTCTTATCACGAATTAATAAACATGCTTTTGTTAAAGAGAAACATCTTGTCTAAGGATGCGTGCACAACTCAGAACGATAATTATTAAAAAATAAACTTGATAACATGAAAATAAAATTATATAAATATTTGGCTTGTCGCTTATTATTGAAGCTTTGATGTTATCATATCAACGTTACATAGAAATGGAGAATACTTAAAAGAAAGTGTGAAGCACTAAAAGTTTCCGGAATGAATAAGAGAAAAATACTATAAAAGTTCAAAAACGGATTTATTGTTTCTCTAAATATTCTCCCTTTGCGTAAATGCACTTTTTCATACGATTAAAATAATTTTGAAAACATTTGTGACACTCCACCCGTTGTGACCTCATAAACGTTGTTTTTCAAACTCTTCGACAGCCTTTTCTGGTGATGAAATTCATTGACTGCGTAATTGGTTAATCGTTAGTTGTTAATCTAGACACGCAATTTTAAAAATAGCGCCACAATGTAAAAACAATTGACAGTCACATGAAACAAACTGCATTCTACAACCAAAGAGTTCCATTTTCAAATATTGTAATTACTTTTTAAATATTGTTTATTTAAGTGGCCCGTTCCGGAAACTTTATGTACTCATGTACTCGTTAGTGTTACTACGGGTACCTAAGAATATGGGAACATTTTTTGCAATCCGACGCGAAAATAATTCGCTACCTTTTTTAACTGATAAGGAAGTGAATAACGCAACGAGCAAAGAGGTTTATATTATAGACTACCGCCAGTGCACTGCTCTTAGAATATAAATAGTTATAGTACAACGCCTCGGCTTTCCGTGAGATAAATCTTACTCATATCTTATTACAGGATTATATACGTACCTGTCTATTTAATCTTCGTCTTACTATCATTTGTTATCTGTCATATAATAGATACAAACATACTAATATTTTTGTGCTATGTATGTATGAAAATTTGATGGTTAACGGATCAACTGAACTAAGAAAAGGGATTTAATAAATATTCGAATTACGGGCGTAACCAGATTTTGGGAAAGGCTTCAATAAAATAAAAGAAAAAGACAAATGCGTTAAATGAAAGTTAAATTAAAAAGGTGGTTATCTTACAAATAAATAACACCGAGTAACATTTAAAAAATTTAAACAATTTCGATTTTTGACTAAATTACGTAAATAAACTCAACCCATGCGTTTTTTTATAGTTTGTATAATTTTAACAGTTTCTTTCCAGTATTCATTCTATCTTGTTTCGAGAAAGATTGAACCATGCGATGTTTAAAAATCGACGCACAAGTGAATCAGGATATTTTTCGCGCCGTCGAAGGAAACCATCGCATAAAAATCAGCGTTCTTAATTGACACATACCTATAGACACGCAAACCTTGGAAGCCCCTTGTTTTTGGAACAAATCGGACGCTAAATGGTTAATTGGTAGTCGTTTAGGGTCTCTTAGGGTATGTGGTAGGGCCAATCACCAGGTAACAAGATCTCGCAGAAGACCGGCTTGAAGGGGAAGTGTTGACACTTCTGCGTTTCGTCTGGTCAGTGAGGTAGCCGTTTACCATCAACGACTGCTTCGCCACTTACCATCAGGTGGGATGGCAGTCAAGTGCAGGCCAATTTTGAATTAAAAAAAAAAAGTTATTAATAGCAACGCATCTGCAACCTAACGGGTGTTGCAAATGTCAATAGGCGGCGGTTATCACTTAACATTAGGTGAACTGCTTGCTCGGTTGCCACTTTCTCACATAAATAAAAGTGCCGGTTACTTCACTATTGGTTAAGATCTCCCCGATGGCAGGTGGCTGAAGAGAAGTTCTGCGAAACTACTATCGGTTGCCGCGACGTGATGCTGGCGCCGATTATGCGCGACATCATCCAGACGGACTACTTCCGGGTGGTCGTGGTCGATGACGAGGACGCCGTGGAAATTTGCGGCGCTCTTAAGGTTGGTACATTTAGTGGCCGGCGGCCATCTTGAAATATGCATTTGACCGCGCTTTTAACCGATTTTTCCCCCGCAATGCCGCTTTTTGCTCGAATTGTTTCCCATACCCTATCTGTTTCCATAGTTCTGATGAAAAAATAAATATGAAATATGTTAAATGAAATTAGTTTACGAATTTTATTGTTGGAAAGGTTTCGAAACGTCGGGAGTTCAAATCAAAATAAAAAACGCACTAAAATCCGTAAACTAGTTTCATTTAATATGTATAATATTCGCGTAAAATCAAGAAAACAATATGTAAATATGAATTGTTAATGTTAATTGAAACTGTTAATGTTCTCTTTAATCAACCTAAAACTTACTTCAATCTAAGACAGTGTTATTAGTAAGTAATAATTAAAACCAAATATATTTCATAAAATAGTGTCAATATGTAACATGCAATGTTTAAATCCTTTCTTAATTGCTTTATTCTGCACTGAAACATTTTTTTGTTTTCACTCAATTAAGTTGGGAATTGTATTTTGTTTGCTCATAATTGGCACGCAATAAAAGTATAATCTTAATAACTATATATTACGAGGAGGCCATGACGTTTGAACAGAACATAGTAGCGGTGGGCGCCGGTTTCGTGGACGGTCTGGGCTTCGGGGACAACACCAAGGCGGCCGTCATCCGGCTCGGCCTCATGGAGATGATCAAGTTCGTGGACGTGTTCTACCCTGGCAGCAAGCTCAGCACTTTCTTCGAGTCGTGCGGCGTCGCCGATCTAATCACGACGTGCTACGGTGAGCCTTTTACTACCATCGTGATTCCGTTATTTTTTTTAAAACATTGCCCTTGCTTCAGGATAACATTATCCTGTGTTGTATGGTCGTATTACAAACATAAATTTCACGCGGACAAACATGCGGATGCGAAACAACTATTGGCGGGTTACACAAATAATTGCCCCGTGTGGGGATCGAACCCACGACCCCCGACGCCGAAGCCGATATCTTGGCAACTGCGACAGGGAATCTCAGTTAGGCAGAGACCATAATTCTTGGCCTTTGAACCGACTCCAAAAAAGGAGGTTATCGATTTGGTTGTAATTTTTTTTATGTATGCTTTTAGCTTTTGAACCGACTCCAAAAGATAAGTTCTCAATTGGGGTGTTTATTTATGTTTGCCGCCTCTGAAAGCTAATAAACTATATTGAGTAACATTTATGTAGTCGTTCTAGTTGTAAGGGATGCAGTGTTAATGTTAAAAGATATTACATTATTCATGGTAATATTGTCTACTAACTGTCCAATGCACATGTTTAACTAAGCTTAATCATTTTTTTTTATTTATTCCTTTAAGCTACCACTAATTTCATCATAACTAGTGAATGCGTACAGGCATTATGATCGTGTTATTTGATTTACAAGAAGATGTAATAAATAATGAACAGAATGCACTTATTCAGATAATATCTCTGTACAGAGGAGGGCAGCAGTGGAACATATATAGGCTGTTACTTTACTTTTACATGTATACACACAGTATGACCTGGCATAGGTATCCTTACTTCCTTACATCCTTACAAATATTATAAACGCGAAAGTTTGTATGTATGGATGGATGTTTGTTACTCTTTCATGCAAACACCACTGAATAGATTTTAATGAAACTTTACAATAATTTAGACTATTGCATCAGAATAACACATAGGCTATGATTTATAAAGATATTGCGTGAATCGTCAAAAATATAGGCAATGATAAGTGTCAAGCGAGATATTCTGGTGTATAATAAAAAGCTCATTGTTAATTCTCTTTGGCCGCTCGGGCGAAGCCGCGGTTAACAGCTAGTTGCATAATAAATACACAGTTTTCTCTACGTTGCCGATCCCTGACGGTTTGGTATAAATAGCACGATTCGTCGACAATTTTCACGGTGTTACGTAGTGCAAAGACGTGATGGGCGATCCGCCGGCCGCCTTTCAGCGGCCAAGAATTGTGAGGTAATGGCTTTTGTAAAAAAAAAAGTGAACTTCAATGCGAGCGCAATACGACATCGTTACACGTGCTCCACAAACCACGTGGCGATCTCAATCTGATCGTCAAATTAAACGAGCTCTATTCTGCTTTTTCACTGTGGGTTTATAAATATATTCTAGTCTGTGGTTCTTCACGCGTCTTCTACTGTTTGATTTTTCTATCGTATGTTCACAAATCTTATCAATACAAATTAATAATTAACAAAATCTTAATCCTAATAAAATTAATAATATTTTTTTTAAATATGTGAAAAAAATTAAATATGTAAATAGTTGGCAAGCGAGTTATTATCCTCATGTTAAGTGATTACCGCCGCCCATGGACTTCTACAATATTAGGTTGCAGATGCGATGCAATCATTAAAAAAAGTGGCCCAAGGGTACCTTACTAACCAGATGAACGTGTAAGTATAACACCTCCACTTCACGCCGGTCTTTTATGAGGTCGTGGTGCTTCCCCGGACGAACCTGCCCATTCTTGGAACAGAATTTGCTGCTCGTTATTACCAAGATATTGTAGGCTGCTATAACAAATTCCCCTGTTGCTAAGCAACTGTTTTTGTCACACTGTTACTCATAACGATCACAATCGCTTTTTCCATATGTTTACTTTTATAATAATATCTTATATTTACGCGAAAACTACACATTGTTAAATCAAAATATTTTTACGGATTTTATTCGTTCGCAAAAAACATTATGAAGATATTTCTAGTCTTAATCGTCCCTCACCGAGTTCATAATAGGGCGGACTATGTTCTAATGACCTATATAAAATATGGTCACAGAAGCGTTTTTCCCAGCAGTGGACCGTATATGTACAGGGTGTTCGTTAGTTAAACGAAAACGAGAAATAATTTTTTTTCTCGATGAAAGTAGTATTTAAAAAAGAAAAATTTATCGCCTCCACCAAAAATAACTATTAAAGTTTCCTGGTTATAGATAAGCGATACTGTTACTATGTAACCCGTGTTGGCTATTATTATATACGATGTTAACGCTTAGATAAAATGTTATCGCTGAAACATATTGAATTCGCTGAGCGTTGCCTATCAACAATAAGGTATAGTTTCTATTGGCGGCGCGCATTTTGAAGTTAACAAAAAAACCCTCTGGTAATGGCAACATTTTCTATCTGAAATGAATTTTAAATATATTACGGTGTAGTTGTTGCTTAAACCGCTTGATGGATACTCAAAGAAAGTAGAAAAATTTATTTTAGTTCCAGTCTCTGCACTTAGATAAACGCGTGATAAAACTGTCGCGAAATTATTTTTTCTCCGCTGCCGGGATTCGAACCTACGCCTTTCGGATTTCGCACCTAGACACTAACCACTAAGCTTAGCGGTTTATATCCTAACCGCGCCAAAATCTGGACGTCCTATCTTATCTAAGTGACATCTAATGGGCTTCCTTTACTATAAAGCCACTTTCTCAAGTGACATTTTCACAATGCATATTTGAAAGTTAGACGTGTATATGTATATACCTTTTGTTTTTCAATTTAGTTTTTAATTTTAGGGCTACACTCTACCCTTATGATGAAAGTAAAAAAAGTCGACGGCGAAATTTGCTGCAATATTCTCTACATGTTTCAAATTTTACTGTTATTAAATTGATCTCTTTAAATGGTCATTTCTCCGGCAGTCACTCCGTTCGGTCGTTCGGCCAGATCTCATTCCGTTGCAAACGAAAGAAACCCGTGGGTTCTGGCTAGCCCACCGGTTCTGCGTCCGATGAAGCTTTAATAGTCTCGGGACTGAAAGCAAAAACATCAGTTAATACAAGACAAGATACAAACGAAAGAAAGTCTGAAACGATTCTGCTTCTTTTCCCAAACAAATTTATTATTTCCCAAAAAATAATTATTTCAAATGATTTTAAAAATGGCGAGGTTCCCAATACCTTTGTATTACGTTTTTTTTTTGCCGTGATAGCTCATTTTCCGGGCGCTCGCTTGAATTTCATACACTCGAGCAACCTGAGTTCGATCCACGGTGTCGGCACCAATGAAATTGTTAAGTGCTGATTTATCACGTGCTCAGCGCTGAAGGGAAACATCGTGAGAAAACCTGCATATTTTCGAAATGACAACAAAACTTCGGAGTTGTGTCAACTCCTCCACTCCGCAGTGGGGAGACGTGGTGTACTGTGTATCCTCTGTACAGAGGAAACCTCTGCCCAGCAGTGGGAATATAGGTAAAAGTTACTTACCTCAGAACTCCATCATTTATGAATTTGAAAATTCCAATTTTGATAATTATTTTTGCATTGGCTTCCGTTTAGCTTTCATATTAATTTTATTGGTGTTGATCCTTAGACTCGGGGTCTAAGGACCCCAATAAAATTATCGGAGATTATAATATGATATATATATATATATATATATATATATATATATATATATATATATATATATATACATATATATATATATGTATATATATATATATACATATATATATATATATAGATTGAGGAACTCCTTAAAATCAAATGGAATGGTAACTATTGTGAATGAGATATTTGAAGTCGGTTTTGTTAATAACAATGTTTATTCCTCTCATTGCAGACCTTTGAGCGTAGTTTTCGAACCGAGGGCAATTCTGCGCAATAGTCTGCGACGTAAATAGACCGCGTCCTATAGTGTTATTTGCACCATTTTAGTCATCCCATATCGCAAAACGAGCAAAGTTCGAGAAATCAACAAACAATAATTTTATCAACTCTTTATTTAACCATTGAACTTGCATACCACACGATAGCGATGAAAAGTGTAAATGAATTAAACGCATAATAATAATATTAATAACCCAAACAGACGAGAAATCAAATAAATATCCCCACAATAATAATATTAATAATGTTGATATTTATATTCCATTCGGACAGATAAATTACAATATAAACATTCATCATGCACTATTTAAATAGAAAAAATTAAGAACGAAGTAATTGTAATTCTATTTCGACATGACAACTGAGTAATTCATTGGAAACATCATTTCAATACTAGTATAAATATATGTATACAGCTAAGCTTATATTACAGTGAAATGTAAATAAGCTTAGTTGACTGCATTCAGCTCGTACTTAAAACGAAACAGATACAAGCAAATTTATTTTATATTATTTTATAATTGAATTTATGCTTAAGTTGATAATGTTTATTTGTTCGTTAAATGGTACTATATTTTTTCGCGTTTTTTTTTATTTCATTCTTTTCTTATATTACATATAGTACCTGGAGGACCGAGCTTTGCTCGGCTTGTTTTTTTTTGGTAAATCGTGTATTTTGGAAATTACATTTAGATACAAATTACTGAGTAATGAAACATGCATAATATTTTTCGTTCTTACCGACGTAATAATAAGAAAATATGAACTGGTGTTTTTCACAAAAGAAAGAACTTTAAAAAAAAGGGGAAAAAACAAACAAAATCATCTGGATAGGCAAAAAATAAAAAATAAAGAAAGCAATGATCTGGAAAAAAAGTAAAAAAATAAGTATGTATCGGTGAAATTTACCGTCATATTCGAATGACATTTTTCATTCCCTGAAAACAGGGATAAAAGGACATTTTCTAAAAACGAAACCTAGCTCGCTAAAATCACTAAAATAGTTTCATTTAATAATATATAATATTTGCGTAAAAACAAGAAATCAATACGTTTATTCGTTGTTCAGTGGTATAAATGCACGCAGATCGTGCTACCGTTTATATTGGCGCATTCTCCCCTTTCAGTGTGCCGAATCGATAATGTACAAGGGAGTGACCTAATGAGAGCCACTGATGCCACGCACTAGGCACGCCGCCCTATTTATCTTTGGTCTAACGAGCAACGAGTCGCGCTTATCTGTTATAAAATTCCACGCCTCGCGACGTATGCGTTTTGGAAGATGCGTTTTGGCGCGCTCGCCTCCGAGCACGGCGAGACCAACACAACGCGTACACAAGGTACACCCGCGTTCCAGGGCGGTTCTCACCGCCCCCAGCCACCGATTAGCTAAAAAACACAGTCGACGGCCATCGGGGTCTCGGTCCGCACCGCTACTTCGATGGCCCTTAGATGACATGCCGTAGTTAAACGCACGCATGAGCACATGCGCGGCCCTACCCACAGCGGAGGGCCTAAACCCGTGGGTTCTGGCTAGCCCACCGGTTCTGCGTCAGATGAAGCTTTAATAGTCTCTGGACTGAAAGCACAAACATCAGTTAATACAAGATACAAGAAGACAAGGCACAGCGTCAGCTCTATATTCCCGGGCTCATAGAATAGGGCTAAGGTATCCCCTGCCTGTCGTAAAAGGCGACTAAAAGAGGACACGGATGGGCAGTAGCACGAAGTGTTCTCGTGCTGCTGCAAGAGGGTGAGGGAATCGGAGAAGGTTTATCCTTCTCCGAGGCGTGCTCAGGCGAGTACCGAGGGACACTGTTGCTCCAAAAAAAGGGTCGGCACAGCGTGAATCATGTTGTAAGCTGTAAGTGCTTTTGGCTATGTTCTTTTCAGACCGGCCAACTGCCACGGCAACCCAGATCCCAAACAACTATGTGTTGACCAGAAAAGGCCCTATTCGTATCGTATTTCGATAAACAACAAGAAACTCGCAGTAAACGGAGCCAAGTATCTTAAAGGTTGGCAGCCAAGGTGAAATGTCTGTCCGCATGCCATTTAAAAAAACAGATTGAGGTAGCGAAGAAAAGTAATACGGTAGAAAAATCAAAACAGTTAAACTGCTTAACAGATTCCGAACAGAAGTAGCATTATTCATATTACTATCTATTAACTAGGTTATTCTAACTTAGGCGCCGGGAGTCGTGGATTCGATTTCGACACAGCACAAGTATTTGTGTATCCCACAGATGCTTATTTCCAACGCGGGTTGACCCCATCTACATAGGATACACTTTGATTTTAGCCAAAAGGCCGAGAAGCGAATTTAGATTAGGTTAAGCGCAGGTTTGAGATGTTAACTTATTGGCTTACAGTACAATTTAGATTATCCGAATCAAATAAAACTAGTTAACGTATAATCGAAAATCTGGATAATCGATTTCAAACAATTATTAAATTTTAATAACTTTAACTTACTATATAGGGCAGGGGTGAGTAACCTTTTTAATCAATGGGCCAATTTAAATTTCAAATTTTTTGGCGCGCTGCACAAAATAATTTGCGAGACTTTATTTATAATAAATTTTAGAATAAAAAATATAAAATTAAAAAAAGTAAAGATTTCATATACAAATTTTAGTGCAAGGTAAAAACAAACAAGAAAAGAACAGAAAAACCAAAAAAAATGTTTCGGTTCAGTATGTACTACCATTTTATTATACTTAATTTTATAACAATATATTAATGGGAGAAATTCGATAAAATAAATTCAATTTTAGAAATGCTTGACGGGCCGCATAAACATGTTTAAGGGGCCGCAAGCGGCCCGCGGGTCGCGCGTTGCTCATCCTGATATAGGGTTATATATATAACATACGTCATTTAGACAACACGATATCAAAAAAAAAACTAGTAACCTATGTGATTTTAAATTTTAGTAGGAATTTACATAAACGTCGGAGGCGGAAAAATACTCGACGTAACATCTATCGCTGTGCCGTGGATTCATTTCTACGTCTGTAATTAACTAATTGGAGACGTGAAGAATGTGTCCGGATAATCGATGTTCGGACAATCGGACTCTACTGTATATTCTTATTATTTTACGAAGAAATATTTGCGTAGGTGGCAGAAACAGAAGGGTAGCTGAGGCGTTCGTGAAGACGGGCCGCTCCATCAAAGAGCTCGAAGACGAGATGCTGAACGGCCAGAAGCTTCAAGGCCCCATCACCGCCGAGGAGGTTAACCACATGCTCGCCAACAAGAATATGGAGAACAAGTGAGCTATTGAAAGCGCTTTACAGTATATCTTATTTTAGTGTATCCTATCCCCCACTAGATGGAGTGACGACCTGTGTAAATGTGCCAGAAGTGAAAAAGGTGCAGGTGGTTCAAGATCGTGCTTTGCGTCAGTCTGTAAAGGACTCGAACAGGCTGAAATTATGATGATGATACATACATAGGAATGATTATTTAAGTACTAAAATTTAAAATAGTAACCTGTTCACTTTTTATTAAGTAAAAGCCGTCCATGGCCATCAACGCTTTAAAGGTCGTTGGCTCAACCACAGCGCCTATAAATAAAATTTTATATAGAAAAACATTCATGATTCCTTTGTTACGGTAAATTATTTTTAAAGCTTCGGGTCGGTTACAAGTTGGTGAGCTCGTGGGGGTAAAGCTGAATTTTGCGCCCTCACTTTGACGATAGTATTGTTTTCCCTAAGCGTAGATAAACAAATCTACTGTAATATGATCTCAGTTTAAGTAAGCAATAGAAATCGAGGAAAGTATAGTTGTGAATGTACATGTAGACAATTTCAACATTGGAAATAATTGCACGTTAACGTGCAATCTAACGGCAAATGTTTGCCGTGACAAATACCTTCATTAATCTAATGGATTTTCGGAAGGTTTTTTTCTTCTGTGATTCCTCAATTTCTAAGTTACATAGTTAATAGTTTGCGCTTTCAATTTCTAATGGCAACAAAATCGTGCATTGAAATGAATTATTTACTTATAAAAATATTTTTTCACGTTAAATTTATCTAATCTTTAAACATTTTAGCTTGTTAATCGCCAAACATAGAAATATATTTAAAATCAATAATTTGTTATTAATTTACAAAATAAAATGTTTCACTTTTGTCAAAAAGATTCACCAGAAATTTACCAGAATGATCTTCTTAATGATCAGAATGATCAATACAAAGAGTTTAACCATCCTTTTGGCAACTCAAATGAAATTACAAATGCCATTTGGCAGGTTATTAGTTGACATCTACGATGATCAGTGTTTCAGAAACCGGGCGGTAGTCAATAAAAACTGAAAGAAATATAGCAAGTGATAACGTAGCTTAACATCAATATACTCAATATTTTAAACCATTTAAACATTGAATACTAAATACTATAGATGTGTTATATATCTCAGGGTGAACGGGATGTCTGGCATCGATTTTACAAAGCGTAAGACACGTGACAAATGTTAGCCTCGAGATAATTCGCGCGACGTTCACAACGGCGGTGCACGGTTCTGTATAGTTTCGCTTGGCGCCCGTCCATATGTTTGCTTGGAGGTCAATGTTAACGTTGACCGATAATGTTCTCGTCTAGTCTTGGTGATAGATCAAATTGCATTCATAAAAACAAATCATTTCAATTACTTTTTTGTAAGTATTATGATTTTGAGTAAAAAGTTGCCCAAAAAAATGTACATGGCCATGCTTCAATAAATGACCAGAATTGTGCTAATGAATCATAAGAATGAGATGTGACGTATTCCCAAAGAAATTAGTAGAATGTACACGCCTTTTAGTAAAGTCATAAAATAAGTTCTAAGTTAAAGCATCCTAAAAATCACAAGAATTTTTTTTCTTAAATACTAACGCCCGGTTTCTGAAACACGCATCATAGTAGCATTTAACAAACCCAAACCCGTGGGTTCCGGCTAGCCCACCGGTTCTGCGTCAGATGAAGCTTTAATAGTCTCGGGACTGAAAGCAAAAATACCAGTTAATATAAGATACAAGAATTAACAAATCGGCTGTCAAATGTAATTTGAGTTGCCAAAATGATGTTTACACTCTGAATTGATCAGAATGATCAGAGTAATCAATTCAAAGAGTTCGACACTTTAAATGACACTTGACACTATTTGACAGCTGATTAGTTAATTTCTACGATAATCAGTGTTTCAGAAACCGGGCGTAAATGTATTATATTTTTCTTTATTTGGTTAGATTCAAAGGTTTCAATAAACATAAACTATTAGACCTAGGTCTAATAATTTATGGCGCTTCTTTTAAATGTAGGACTTATGGTGCAGTAACGCCTTATTGTTTTCTTAGTGTCTTCTGTATTATGGACATTTTTTATTCATTGAGATATTAATCTTTGTTACACTCCATAAAACAGACAAAAACTTCGTAAACGGCTTTCAACTATACTTTAGTCCTATTTTTGCAATTGCACAGAGTTTGCCATATCATTATGTTATGCATATATTTCCGCAGCTTGATTTTTAGCTTATCGATGAATTGTGAAATCACGTTAAAAATCCGTACGAGTCCCGATTATAAATAGATTTTTTACGTGTTGTATAACCATCCATGATTATATCACATTATTGGTGTTCATGGGAATGTTGCCATATATGCGCGGTAGAGGGTAGCCAAAAAGCCCAGCAGCTATTTAAAGAGATCACCTGGTGCCTGAATTTATTCATGTAATTGAAATAAAGTTGGAGGGCGAAAGAACATGCCGCAAAGAGGTTTTTAAATATTCGCTAATGCCTTTCGCACAAAGTGATTAAGTTAAGGCATATTAGACTCAATTATCTTGAATCACAGATCTAAGTCGATTGTATTAGAAATTACGTTTTCTGTACACATAATTATTTGTCTTTGATGTTTCACATAATATGTTGTTCGATTGTAATACGGTCATAGAAACAAGTCTTCCAGTCGATATTTTAACGAAAATATTGAATATTTGTTTTCAGCATCTTGATAGTCATAGCCACTGAATGGTGGCAAATTGTTAAAATAATCAGTTTTTGAATATTCCATCTCGTGTATCGAAAGAAATGTTTATGAGTCCTGTTGTTGTCGTGGTTTTGATTCCCATAATATTGTCTGTGTTCGATTTTTGTACGCAAAACGATTCTCAAACAGAATAAAGGTATTCTGTAGTAACCGGTACTACTTGCTCACACGACTTGCACTGCAGCTTCTGCATTCATGCAACATGAATCATCTGTTGTAATTTTGGATCAGTGGCTTAAAATAGAGTAATTATTATTATACTTTTACTTTTCGTCTGGTGAGTGTGGTGACCACTCAATGGTAGTGTTAACCCTTGATACCTACAATTCGAAATTTGTTGTATATTAACAGTAAGTGAACCACTGGCTCATTTGCCACCTCCAAAAAACTTCTTATACACTGACAGCTATCGGTTCGCAGTAAACGTATGAGGTTTTTCGAAGTAACTGTTTTAAATAGAAAAAAAAAACAGGCCACTATGTACCAAAGGCGGGCTCATTTCGTGTTTAAAAATCTATATATATCTATTCAAAACGCATCTCCGTAATGGTTGCAGGTTCCCCCTATTTACTGGCGTCTTCCGCATCTGCCGGGGGGAGTTGAAACCGACGGACTTCATCGATTGCATTCGCAGCCATCCGGAGCACATGTAAGGGCGCACCAAAAACTAACCGACTCCCTCTGCCTAGCTTCTAGAACGCTCTAGAGCATATCTAAATAACGTAGTGTAGTCACAGCAATTTGTTGTAAATAACATTGTCTTTATTTATGTACAATATATTTATCTATATTTTACAGGGTGTTAGTCCATAAAGGTTCTGTATATGTAAGGTTTGGAAGCATTTGTGCATATGTAGATGACAACTATTCGGTGAATTATTTGTACTTAGCGGCAGGTGGGATCTGATTATCTACGTATATGCCTTAACAACGTTAGAAACGTATTGCATTCATGATTTGTTATATTGTTGGTTACTTAGCTGGTTAACGTATTTATAGCCTACTCGTATAAACTATCGACGCCTGTTATTCTAATAACGTATTATATGACGCCGTCTATCACCTATCCAATATTAGGCATAGGTGATATTCGTTTTATCTATATCTGATGTATTATCATGTCAAGTGAGCTAGCAATTTCATCCAGTATCATCCATCCCCTTATCTCCATATGATTGGTAGCCATATAGCAAATGGACGCGTTGAAGTGGTTGTTTGCGTGATAAAAAATAATATATATTGGACGTTGTTAATTCTATAGCAGGCGTACGAGTATTGTTGAAATGTATAAAAGTCTAAATAACTATACCTATTATAACCCTTCGACGCACACTTCTCTAATATCTGTTGCACGTTCTTTTAGCCGATAGTGTTGTATTTAAGTATAACTTAATTGTTTATCGATTAAAAGTTATTGAAATAACAAAAATACTTTCATTGTTATTATTAATTCCCTGTACTATCTGTTTATATAAAGTTTCCTCGTTTATTATAACCCCGCTATTTATCGATGCATGTGTTGTTTACCTTTTGCTTTTAATGTTTTCAGATTCGCCCCCAAGAATATAAGTATTTACTAGATTGCTTCTCGAGTTGTCCGCACGATATTTTTACGCTTATCTGTTTGCTTTTATATTTATTTTTTAACCTTTACTCAGCGTCACGGTTAATGTTACTTTGTAAAACGATCTACAATTTATGTTAATTATTATTCCGTAACATTAATTATGACTGAATCTTTATTTTTCTAATTGCATGCATTATTTTGCGTTGTATTTTTGCATTCGTTTAATAAAAGTATTCCTAAAGGCAACGGCTGTTTATATTAATACATTTAACAATCGTAAATACATGTGTTCATCGCATCGTTCGGAGGCGGTTCAACCGTTGCTTGAATGATGTTTTAAACTGTTACCATCGGACCAGTGGAGTAACTTTTTAACTAATATTCTAGGAAACAGCCGACGCCCAAATGCTCTCTGTGACCCGAGTGAGGACCCATTTGGATAGTTTCACATCAACATCGCCTTTCGTCCACCGCACTTTGTTTTGTCGACGAGTGTTTGCTATTTAATAGAGCACATCACTATAATAAATTCATCATATTAACACACACCAAAGCACTTCATTCAGCTGATATAAAACGGACGCACTATAGACGTCGACTTCGTCAATTCATCCGTTTGTTAATTTGTCAGGTGCAGTCTTTATTAATAAGCCTTCATTCAAGCTTGAACTTTGCAAATTATAGTGTTAATGTGAGTTAAAGATTAATTGGGGTCTCCGAATGCGACTAAGTGTCCTCTTAGTCGCACTCAGAGACGAATATTTGTTAATAGGAGTCCCTTCGAACTAGTCGATTAAGTTAAGATTAAGTCCTAACAATAGTTGGTGTAATAATTTAGATTAATTTTTCATTGGGCTTTTTTTAATGGTTACTCAAAAAGTTAACTAAAAGGACATTGAATGATTTTGCGGCTGAAATCTTAATAGAATAAAGAAATCGATAATGTATTGGACAGTTTTGGTTTCAAATGTGGACTTTGTAAGATTTAATAAAAACAAGGATTTTGTAGTAAAATGACTGTCAATGCCCTTTATTAGCCTACTAAATCTGTTAACAAATGGTTAATTTTGCATTTCAAGTCTTGACTTTGTATAAAACATGATGATTTAGGTTTTTTAAATCCATAAAGTCTACAGAACAAAATTTTTAATTATCATATTAATCTGTAGTCTATGATTTGTTAAGACATTTTTTTAAACGAAACTGATATTTTAATAACATAAAACTATTAATTGCACACGCTTTTTTCACCAAACTGCAATTAATAATTTTAAAACGCTGTTATATCGCAGAAATGCAGAACAATGTTTTATACCAATAGAGTTTAGTTGTAATCCAGGAATAGTATAATGTTACGATAAAGCTTGCTTTCGAATGTCCAAACGTTTGCATGGGCACATTGTTTTGTTATTATTTCCTTCACTAATTTCCATGGGACTTTTCATAAAAGTTTTTTTTATTATACGCAAAAAACCTGACGATTAATTTTATGTTAAAAATTAAAATTTAATTATTAGTTATTTTTTCGGCGTCTATTATTTTGTTTCATGTTTGCTAAGAGCTTTAAACATATTTTTTCTATACTTAAAAAAAAGTATTGGTTATGAACTTTTGTAGATGGTCGTGAAGTTAAAGTTTTGTAAATAATCGTATTAATCTTTACTTGCAACATTTGTCAGTCGCAAGCTGCAGTCATTTCATAGCCATTGTGGAATTTTCACTCTATCGAAACCAATTAAACAAAACAGAAGCCTATGTTTAATTTGTTATATGTTAGATGTATCGAAATTATTTTTTTCAGGATTCGGATAGTTAGAAAATCGCATTGCTGTATTTGCTAAAATTGATGCGAGGTAAGAGTAAAATTACAGGCTTCTGTTTTTGTATAATCCACACTGTTTGTTTTATGTATTTACATTTGTGTAAGGTCTTGATTTTAAGATTATATCGCATTTTCAGAATATGTCTATTATTTTGGAGTAACCAGAACACCACTACGTGCCGAGTAATGTTTAAATACAGATTTATTTTGCTCATTACGACAAATCATATACAGTGTCCAGTAAAGAATGGATAAGATTGAAAAGCCTCATTGCTGAGCTATTGGGCGGTAAAATAAAATATAAAAAAATCTACGTCAGTTAATACCTAAGTAACAAACTGTGTTAAAAATATTCATCTTTTCTTGTGTCTCTACATTTCCGTGTACCACAGAAATAAATGAAATCTTATGGTTTTTCGATATTACAATATTCATTGTAACCATTGGAAATGCAGTAAACTTTTTTGTATTTTATTTTTAGTGCACACTACCTCTCTAATATAAAGAGAAAATACTGAGGGATGGAACTGTTACTACTGGCAACTAAAGTAAATTCTATTTTAACCTCTGTCCGGCACGGACGGATATAAAAAAACCCAAGAACCTTGAATAGAAATAGCGGGAACTTAAAAATATTGGCGCCAACTTTAAAAGGCTGAGATATCGCCCAACTCTCAGTAGTTCACAATAAGTTTTCATCAAGCACTCGAAGGACGCCTCTAAGTAAATATGTTATGTTGGTTCAGCATAAAGACTTTAAAAATGACATTTTCAGAACCGTGGCCCTTTAGGGCAATCTTGTTTTATATTAGTATGTATGATTGTAGTGTCGATAATACTTCATTTTGTCATTATAATCCATGCACAAATATAAATTTTGTCACATAATATGTAAATATCATTTATAATTAATATCGCATACTACGTTTATTTCATAAAATCTAGCAAAATAGTCCAATCAATGACGTATTCTTCAAAGCGGATTAGACACGTGAATAATACTAATTGGTAAGTACCTAATAAGCCTTACTAATATGTCATTATTAACACCACATACCAGATGTTTTATATGCATTATTCGAGATATTTTATGTTTATTTATACAAATATAAATTATTGTTTTTAAAAAATATTAGAAAGCAAGTTTTTGGATGACAAATACATCTAAAAGCAGAGATCATAAAATATAATCGCCGATCTCGCGTTATCTTTCATAATTGGTTTTTTGTTTGATTGATGACCTTGGCAACAGCTATTTATTGCTCGGTGCGATGTCTGTTCGATTCCCCGGGAACAAAATTTGGTGATTTTGAATTTTGTGAAACCTTGATTTTTTTTAAATATTAAACGTAGTATTAACATACTCGTAAATATACCGATATTTCATGTTCTCCATTGTTTTTTTTATGTGAAAAGTTGCCAAACGTGCAGACGGTTCACATGATGGTAATTGAATATCGCCGCCCATGGACATCTGCTACACCCGAGGGTTACAGGTGTGTTGACAACCTTTTGAAAATTGGGCTCCGGCTACCTCACTCACCAGACGAAACGCGAAAGTAAGTTTTCCATTGTGCGGTCATAAGCGACGTCAAAGAATAAAAGAATGAGGAAGAAACAAATGAATGAGTGTTTTTAAAACTCAAATTAATTCCAAATTCAAATTTATAAATGAATTTATAAATTTGAATTTTGAATTTTTAGCCATAGAGGAGATATTTCCGATCAAAGTGATCAGTACGACAAAACGATAATTTCATATGTAAGCCTGTTGTTTAAATGGTTGAATAATTATAATTTGTATTTGCTTAATGCCTTGTATTTTTTTACAGGGTTAAACCTGGAGCATAAACTGAATGGGTGGTTGGCAAAATGTGTTATTGTATTACGTCTAAATATAAACAGTAATGACTTACCATAAGTTAGCTTTGTGCGTATTTTTTTGGTTTCATATTTTGTTAAATATTTTATTACGTAACGTACACTTATGGTAAAATAAATTCCTTCGTATATAATTCTATTGTTCATGTTGGTGTAAACCAAACTTGTGCGAAATATATCGTTTCTATAAATACATTCAGGTATAGATATAGTATTCTTAACCAAAGAAATGTATAATTAAACAATTCATATCTCACAAAAGTAACAAACAAAAGTACATATTTTTTAAAACACTTTTAGTCCAGTTTTGTTTATGGTTGGACCATTAACAAAACTGATTGTTTAATTGTTGAATTTAATTGTTTTTGAAGTTTTTTGCGTTATAACTTCAATTTCACACAAAATAACCAGAAGTGGAATATAATTAGCCCGATTTGCCTGTAACTGTTAACAAATTAATGATAATAAATTACAATTTAATTTCTAACGAATAGTATTCGCCAATATTAAAACAAAATGTTCCTATTTTATAACACTATCTATTGCTATCAAAATACAAAAACTATTCGAGTATCCGTAACATATGTTCATATCCCACCTCGTGAGTCACTAATATATTTACTTTTATGTTACTATTGATATATACTTTTATGGTATTATATATGGTAGTAGTTTAAAACTCATCTAGCTTAGAGTTAAAAAAGACAATTGTAGCTAGTTTTTACATATTAAAATCAGCTCAATTAATGTAATGTAGAGTAATAACTCTTTCTTTGAAAGATCTAAGTGCATACATTCGGATTTCGATCTATCGTTTTAAAATAAAATACACGTATCTATCATATCTTACATACATTACTAGTTTATATAATGTGCAAGTTGAGTTTTTTTTGTTTTTGAAAAATTAAATGATTTATGATAATATTAAGTTTCCTTTCATTTATGAATAATTGATCAATAAAAGGGCAAAAATTGATACGGTATCGCTTTGATACTCTAACTAATACAAATACCAAAACACGCGGCTGACGTGACATGGTACTGCTGATATGTATTTCTGGTGTTAATTTTTTTTTTATTATAACTTTGTTTTTGGCCCGTAATAAATCTTTATGATTACACAAGGGATTTATTACTACCAAATTGAATGTAATCCATCTCGAGTGTTCCATGAAACTGTCTGCAATCGCACATCGATTGCAGACATTAAGAAGTTGCATAGGAATAGATAAATAGTTGTCGTATTCCATATTAAAACAAAAAGGCATATCTTAGTTGTAACCGTATTTCATGAATGAATGAAATATGCTTTATTGTACATCAGAGAAAATTACAAAAGTAACAAAAATTACATAGAGGTACAATTTGCGGCTTTATAGCTAAGAAGCGATTATTTCCAGGCAACCATGTGACAGAGGGTACAATGAACAGTGAGAAGAGTGCGGTGTACGCTATTGTAAACCGTGATAGACAGTTGAATTATTCACAGATGATGTCTTTCTTTTGCTGCTTTAACAACTAAAACTTAAGAAGCAATAAAGGATATTTAAGTGGGGCCCCCTTACAACAGACAAGATTTTTGCGCCGTTTTTATAGATAATGGAGTCCTTCGTGCGCGAGTCCGATTCGCACTTGTTTACATTTTGTTTTGAAATGAGACCCTGACCGCAACCCTCGAATAGGTGGTAAATCATTTCAGCATTTTTATACAACAATTGTAAAACAGCTTCGTGTGTGCGATTATCATCAGATGCACGTTTTGATTTATTGTATAAATAAATAACAAAAAATAGGTAAACATAAACATTTCCTATCTTTGTTGTACATGTTCCTGGAAGCTAAATTCTTATCATTTACAAGGCTCAGGTTATAAACACAGTTTGTAATGAGGCGAGGCATAGTGGAATTACTAAATTTAATGCAAGGCTCAATAAAAGAAAGGATCCTAACGAATTAAGAACTTCCAGTTTTTTAGGATTCGGTTGAAATTGTTTGAACAAAATGTTTTCAAAATCTACCACGCGCAACAGCCTTCTGGAAGACGTCGAGTCATCGTACACTGCCTGTGTACTTTGGCTCGAGTTATTTCATGTTGGTGCGAAATATGATAGCAGAACTCACGGAAACCCCCGTCAGTTATACCATAAAGCACTTGTTTGCATTCCATGACCTTGAAGAGGCCAAATGGTATCGCACGAACGCATTAACCTGGTACACTTGTCGGAATGGATCTTGTTATGGAATTTAGGGCTGCTTTAGTACTAGCAGGGGACCCCTTAAATGTTATGAACCCGAAAGATTTTACACACATAATAAAATAAAACAACTAAACCCAAGATCCGCTGCTGGTCCCCATAAAAAAAGGTAAAAGAATATTTAAAGCCAAATAACAAAATAACGCCATGCCGCGTATCTTCGTTCCTAAGATCGCTTAAGGTGAATAGTACAGGCTTAAGTACAGTCAAATATCGGTCTCTAGTTGTTTCAATGCAAACGACATTAGGGCCAGAAACTTGAAAAAATTAAACCTAGGCCCTCTTAATTTCAAATCTTAATTTCAACATTATCAGCGTCAAGCAATGCTAAACGCAATAGAAAAAACGTAAAAAGATCTCGAGATTTTCGCGCCTTGAGGACGTCGGCCGCTTAGCTTCGTTGGTAAAGCGTCTGGGCGCGAAACCAGAACACGCAGATTCGAATCTCGCAGCGCCGAAAGTTTTTGTTCATATATCTATATGGACTACATAATATGATACATAGATAGTAGACAACATAATGATATACTGGACATCGGTCGAACCGCCTAGTCCGGCTCAGATGTGAGCGTGAGTCATGTAGGCGGACGCGCTTGTTACGGGGCGAATTTTTCTAGGTAAGGGCGTGGGTTGTTATGGGCATAGTCAAATATTTGACATGCGAAACGAGTCACGAAGGGATTTGATTCACAGATCCCTTGCAATAATTTCATTCCTGAAGTAACGTACCGCCCCCACGACAGTTCGAAAGACAGGTTCAGTTGGGTCGAGAGCAATCAAAGGTATTGTAAACCGCGGGTTTAGTTCTGGTCGATAGATTGGAGACCAAGATAGGACCTAGTACTACTCTGGCAGGTTCAGCAGCCTTTGCATTCTAAGAAATAATATTTCGAGCCGATGAGATGACGTAAAATACGTACTATCGTTTCACTTAGCAGGGGTTCAAACCCTCGCCCGTCCTCCCTAAGGCGATCTTCAGATTGGTGTACACCGCTTATAGAATTGACACAACAGCTCCCCAACACTACATTGTGGAACTCCTACTTCGTTAGTTCATACTACCGAAACCGAGTTCTCAACAGTAACATAAAACTTGGTTTTGTAAATAATAGGTAACCCCGAGAATACTGTAGCATGTATACCCCGAGAATACGGTCAAATATACCTTGGAAAATGATCAGGTAACAGGAGTCAATTTCGACTCCTGACATTCGTCATTTACAATAAAAATATGAAAAAGAGACGCGTTCGTTTAGGCCTGGCTATATAACCTAAAGCCTCCAGTAAAGTGCTCTTCAGGAAAAAAACTTTGATTTAAAGCTTGCTTACGACACATACTGTCCAACAATGGTATGCTCTTTCCTCACGCAAACCCCACAAACCTGCATAAACTGTAACATCAATAGCCCCCATTTCAGTGGCATTTGGTCCCACTAGATAAAGCTTGCATGAGCACATACAAGGCTCTACCCAATGCGGTTGGCCGCATCAGGCTTGTAGGTTAGTGATAGCCCCTAAGCTCTGCGTTTAATGAAGCCTTAATAGTCTGTGAACTAAGGAAAAACGTCAGTTAAAGTAAAGAATAAAAATATTATTTTGGCCATTACTGCTATATTTGCTGATACAAATTAAAAAAGTTTGATGTTGAGGGCTTGGTTGTAAGACCTAAAGATGTTTGAGTAATAAATGAAATAGATCTATTATTTTGACAATTTGTTTTATTCCCTTTCATGGTAAATACTGTCTAACAAAACTTAAATTGTCGGCTTTTTAGTGGCGCATTTTTTATATAACCATTATAAAAATCTAAAGCAGTAATTTCTCTTTTTCCTAAAATTCTAAGTGATTTAAAATAAATATATCGCTTATCACTGCACAGTATCTTTAATGCATTAGTTTTTTCACAATACTGTATTGTGCCAGGGGGTATATCATTTTGTTCAACTTCTTCAACATTATGAAGAAATGCATTAAAAAGTTTCATTTCTTTATCTTTAAATTTTGTTTTTAGGGAGTAAAGTCCATATATAGCTCTGTATAAGTTATAAACCTCAATGGCCGTCATATCCAACCATCTTACTTCACTTATACTTTTGTTGATTTTCTTCGCTGAAAACAATGTTTATAGACATGAGATTGTTATTATAATATTATGAAAACGATTTTGTTACAACATCATTCTTTGATATGTTTGGATTTGCTATTAACATTACCATATGTTACTCCTTTGTTACTTTGTGGTTGTGCATATTCTATACTCTGAGGTAAATTTCTCAAACATTCCACAAGCATTGTTGCCCCAATTTCTGATAACTGTTCTGTTAATTCTGGTAATTTAATATCTTTTGATATCAACACTTTTTCTTGGCTTATTATTTCACCTTAAAGAAATTATTCTTATGGTTTGGATAGGATACGATTGGTTTGAAAAAATATAACTACAGATTTATTTAAATTAGTTATGAAATAAGTACTTGCAATATAAAAATAAGGTGTTATTACCATTACCACTAACAGTAATTATATAAGTCACATGGTGATAGTGTCATTTAGTTTTGAAATACAAAGCAACTTTTTTATTATATACAACATAATTATAAATGCTGGTAAGGTTATTATCATCTATCACATTTGGAAAAATGTCCATTGAAATTTGCTATTTCTGTTTTGTCATAAAGTGTAAATTATGAAAAAATATCATTGACAATATTTAAATATTGTTTATAATCTTTTTTGAATAATGATTATATTTTAACAATAATCTTTTGTGATTAGTTATTAAAATTATTAAGAATTGTATTGAGCACTTACCAACATCAAAGACATCTGCTTTTATTTTCATGAGTGATACCCCAGTTATTTGGTCTCCATATAATAAGGTGTAAATAATTGGAGCTGCACCTCGCCAACGGGGTAGTAAACTTGGATGTACATTAATCATTCCTCTAAAATGTAAGAGCAAGGCTTGCAAATTTACCATTTATACATTTTCTGTTTTGATTATAAATAGGTAAAGTACCACGTATATAAATTCAAATTAGTAGATTTTAGACAAATTGAAACAATATTAAGGATGTCGGAACCACCTATAATAAAGATTAATATTACAATCAAATAAAGTTACTTACAAAGGGAATTTTTTTAGAATGTTGTCCGTTATCATGTGACCGAATGCTACTATTAAACCGATATCATATTCTCCCACATGTAAATTTTGTAAGGGCCATTTTAGTGTATTTATGTTTTCGGAGTAAGCATATTTTTCGATAGCAGATTTTGTCTTTGAATTATTTGCTGTGACCAGATCGAGTCGATTAATGATTTTTTCTTTTTTTCTGAAATATCCATTAAGATTTTAACGTTATAAATGTGCGCTAATAAACATATTCAATTTTAAATAAAACTTACCGAAATTCATTTACCTTTCTCAAACTACTAAGTGCAATATTGTCTGATCCAAAAAATAAAATGTTATACGAGTTTTTAAAGCTTAAATGACGAATTAATCGAGGTTTTTCTTTTAAAATATGCCTAAATAGAAGTGGAGAAAGGTTATAAAATTTAAACGTCATTTTTCTTTTGACATGCCATTGTTTTGTTTATGAAGTGACAAGTGACTGTGTGCTGTCAAATACTGCGTTCTAACTGCGTTCCATTTAACCAATTTTTTATTATCTTGGTATTTGTATGTGCTTTTTTTTGCAAAAGTGTTAGTGCCATTATTTTTTTTAATATCTATATATACCATATCTATATATACATATCTAATATCTATATATATATATATATATATACCATACCCAAAAATCAAATTTAAACTTATAACGGCTTGTAAAATATAAATATGAATATCGTAAGCAGAAATAGGACCATATATTTTTCCGGGTCAGAAAATATCCCCTTTTTTACTCTTAGGTATTAAGTCCAAAGTGTTAAGACACTGGTATAGTGATTTTATACAAAAAGATTCAGTATTTTACAGAAGTAATAAATATAAAATTACGTCCCAGATTTGTCTCAGAGGAACCGTGTGTTTTTCCACATAGAAAGCAGTCTATACTCCACCCGTGAACTATTTCTTTCGATTAAAAAAAACTTGGAGCTGCAACATGAAAGAAGGATTAAACAATTTTTGTATAAAAAATTACCGGTTATGATATTGGTTTTACTTTTTTATTACAAAAAAAAAAATAATATATTTATATTATAATTATTTCTTCCTAAAGATGAAACTATTAGACCTTATGTAATATAGAAACCGAAATAAATTGATAATTTTATTTCGAAAACTTTTTAGTGTTCTTTTAACTAAAGAAGTCAGGCAATACAAAGCAAGAAAATTTTGTTCATTTCCTTTGTATTCGCAATAATTTTTGAAAAGCATTGACCTTGTGAATTCAAAACAAAAAGGAAACAGGTTTTATATAATATAAAGAACGGGTTTTATTGAAAACAAAAAATAACATTGATGCAAATATGAACAACTTTTCAATTTATATATGAGTAATAGTAAGCCGGCGCAACCAATGCTCTTTCTATATTTGCATGAACTGTAGATTTAAAAAAATATTTCTTGCAGTATTTTAACAATTTGATGGTGTCATCAGATGTACGGGGACCGCAGTGGATAAAAAATCTTCCCTGCAATGTTGATCAGCTGTTACCATAAAAAAAATTATAGATCCGCTGCCACAGGACATTAATTTGTACGTATCGGTTAAAGACCTTACATATGATGCTAGCTGAAACATAAGTTCGTCAGTGTGCGAGAAAACCTGGATGTGAAAGGATATTTCACAGTATTGATTCTGGTGTTTACTGGCTGATACCCGTGACTTCGTCTGAATTGCTTTTTAAATAAATAATTACACCGCATGCCCCACTTTTCCACGGCAAGAAAATAAACACTACTGAACACGTAGTGCTTATAAAAATATTGATGTAATGTTTTTACTTTACATATTAATAATTGAATAACTTTACATTAAATGAAGATACTACTTGATGACGTTTGAAAAAAAAAATACGAACTTTGTCTCTATTAAGTTTTCTGTTAACAATCTTGTTACCTAATAAAGACAACAAAATAAATCAAGTTATGAAAGAGTACGTAAAATTTTCGTTATTTTTATTGTGTACATTATAACTATGTATATCTTAATTTCTGTAAGACAAAAATTTTTGTGTCAAGTTTGCCGCCCATTTAAATCTGCCGCCCAAGGCTCTAGCCTACTTAGTCTGCCGGTAAATTCGCCACTGAGAAGCAGTGATATGTTAACTTTAGCTTTAATTTGATTCTTTTTATCTTATGTCATCATAGACGTCCCGTGTGTGGAAAGGTAGAAAAATTACAAAATTATCTTATGCACTATTCAGGGTAACACAGCAATACTTACTGCCAGACTTGTTTACTTCAGCTATTTTCACAGCATCTTGTCGTACGGCATATTGTGGGGTAGTGCATCCGATATACATTCTATATTTATTCTATAAAAAAGAGCTGTCCGAGCAATCTATAATATCGGACCCCGTAGTTCACTCAGAGATCTTTTAAAAGAGATTATACTCACTGTTGATTCTCAATACATTTATGTAATGTTTTTTTATATTCGTCATAACTTTAATTTTTACCTAAAGAATAGTGACACACATAAATTAAACACTGAACACTGGATAAACTTACTACGCCATTGTTTCGCCTACAAAAAGTAAATAGGTCGTTCATGGGGCAAGGTGTGCGCATGTATAATAAAATCCCACAGTCGATATTAAGTCTGCCGCTTGATCAATTTAAACGTAAAATCAAAAGTCATCTTAAGGTTAAAGCATATTACACCATTGCGGAATATCTCGACGACGCCAATGTGTGGAGTTAATACTGTTGAGACTGGTAGAATAAGACTATTATACAGGTACCTATGTTATATTGTAAACTGATATTTTTGAGAAAGAGCAACTGTTGAATTTTTTGCCGGTCTCTTCTCAACAGAAACTGCTTTTCTAACCGGTAATGTAGTTTTGTGGTAGGTGTAGTTTTGAAGACTTCATTTCTATACAGTCAATAATTACATAACAAATAGAGATCCTAGGCAAGAATCACTGTGAGACAATAGATGAGTCACAAATAATTTGCGACTCAATTCATCGTGTCATGTTTCAGATATAACTGTAAGTAATTATAGTAATAAATAAGGTAAGAGGTTAACGAATGAATTGTTTCTACTATAGGAACTACACAAGTTTTATTTATCTTGCATAACAACATTACATTATTTTTCGCCTTCACTATAAATCGTAACTTAGTACGTTTTATTCCAAAAATAAAAATATATTACATTTTAAAAATAATAGGACAACTATAAACTATTGTGACTAGGCTTCATCCATGACAATAGAACAGACCTTAACGTCTGTATTAAATACTGTTCAGTTATTGACACCGACATCTATTTTAACATTATCGTAATGGCAAAAAGGTCTAATGACTAAAAATTATATTTACTAGATAACATTATGACATAATTTAGCTTTTGCTCAAAATTTTTGAACTTTTATGTTTACTGACTCATTCTCTTTGAGGATCTTCGCTGAAAGCTTCTTTTCTTTGTGAACTGTGGCTTAGTATACCACGACGGGGGACTTATCGCGCTTTCTTCGAAACTGTTTAAACTCGTGCTTCTCTGCGAGCCCTCGCGTTCAGACACTCTTGATGATATTGTCTCCAAGTTAGAACTGGCTTTTCTGCTAAAGCCAGATTGAAAGGGGATGTCCTTCATTTCAACAATTTCAACGTCCATATCGCTTAAGTCCTTGCTAGGCCTGTGTGCTCTGCTTGATTCTGTGTAATAGCCAGTAGTCCGCAAGGTGCCACTCATACGTTTAGATTTATCTCTGTATAACATCTTCTGCAACTCCTTGCGGAATTTGGGATGTGTAATTATATAAATAAAAGGATTTATACAAGCGGCTGTCTTGCAGAATAATGCTGGTATCATTGAAGCTGTCGGTGTAATGAGGTTTTTCTTGCCGAATATACCGAGAAGGGCTACAATTGCATACGGTGTCCACGATATAAAAAACAAAGCTATAACAACTATTACTAAAAACGCAAGCTTAATTTCTGCTTTGCGTTTCGCCTGTTCTTTCACGTGCCTTGACGAAAGACTCCGTTCTTGATTATTCGTTGACATATTCCTTTTGCCCATAACAACTTGGAGAATGCTTGAGTAACAATAGGAAATTGTACAAAACGGCACCAGCCAGGCGGCGCAGAAAAATGTGAATATGAAGTAACGCGGCCCCATCTCTTCCGTGAGGTAGTCAAAACTGCAACTGGTTAAATATCCTTCTGGGACATACTGCCCGTATCCTATATCTAAGGCTGGGATAGCGGAAAATATAACAGCGTATAGCCAAGCTCCCACTGCCAGGAGTCGTGCCCTGATGGCAGTCAAGGCTCTGAGAGGTTCCAATGGCCGCACGACTGCCCAATACCGATCTAATGCTATTGCTGATAGAGTTGCTATGGATGTTGTCCCAGTTAGGCCGCCCAGAAATCCGTATAACACGCAACCTGTAAACGTAATTGTAACAAAATTATTAGGTTTCGGAACTACCACGTTTTTTTTTAATTTTTATAATCGGGTTAAGAGACACTCACCGGCATAATAAGTAGAACAATAAAAAATGAAGTGAAGCAGTTTTATGTATTAAAATATTGGCTAGCAAAAATTTATTTTTTATTTTAGATCTGATTTGGAAGAGATATTTAGCAGATTTTCATTTGCGTTTTTTCAATTGTATGTTTTAATATTCCAATATAATTACACGCACAGATTATTGAGTTGTTTGCGGAAGATTTTGCATTCTTACAAAATATCCACGTAAATTATAAGTAAAAATCAAATATTTTTTTCTTTTGAAATTTTGTTTCATTAAAAGCATTGAAGCATTTCTAATTTGACACCGCATGATATTCAGAGTATGAGGGGGAAACGCGTTATAAAAAATTTATTCAATTAATGTTAAACTACAAATTTCTTACATTTTCAGCGAATCTGTAGGATCACGAAACCTAACGTTTTTTTTTAATAAACTTTAAGGTAGGTATAGCCTAAATCGATGTTAAAGATGTTAGATAATGTTAATGTTCCGCTAATTAAGACGGTATGTCTAGTTCGTACCTACAAAACCGAAATTTTAATTTCTGTTCCACTTTCGGTATAATATTGAACTCTAAAAGTCCCTTCTAAGATTCTTGTTAATTAAGAAATAGAGCCTGGACTATATAAATTATAAGTTGACAATGAAATCACTAAGCTAATAGTTTTCAATATCTTTAACTAATTTTCAGTGTGAAAACCTTAACTAGATTATAAGCAACATGAAACTCTGCGGTACTTATAAAATATACTGCCTCCAAAAGTGGACTTAACTTTTGGTGGAAAATATAAAAAAAATAGTTTTCAATTACACCTAAACATGGTTCGGGGGAGATGGGGTGAATGACTTAGATTTTCAAAAGCTTCTCTTAACTCTCAATAATGTTTTTGTTTTCGGTCGTTCGGGAAGATTTGTATCCAGAATCTTCATTATTTAAAGGGTAACTACTCAAAATGCTGCTGTGATAAAGCACACGCATACGTATAATTATGAATTATTAATGAAAAATAATTAGTAGAAACATATTCGTAATGATATATAACATTATTGTTACAAAATATGTTCATTGCAGTGTGCTTACCAGTTTTTCCTAATGCTGGTCCGAGGTTGAATGAGTTAAAAATAAAAATAGGTGTTTTAGCGAGCATAATGAAATCACTGAGAGCTAGATTGGCGACAAGGATGTTTCCCGGCGTCCGCAGTGTGCGACATCTGAAACATAAATAACGATCTCTTTAATCTTCTCTCCACAATCGTTCAATATTTTTTGTTTAGATAGAGTACTTTGATATTGATATCTACGTGTACAGAAATTTTATGTTATTCATGAGATCTTTCGTAACCTACACAATATATAAAAACATAATATTATCTTTTTTATATACTTGTCAAGTATGTAATCAAAGAATATTATTGAAGACACACAATGAAGACATAAATCGAAGATGTTGGATTTAATTTTATTACCGACTCTTTACTGGTAACAACAAATATGTCCCTTTTGACTTGATAATAAATATGTATAGGAGCCCGAGTTCGTCTTTATATCATTTTCGAAATCTTTATGCTTTACTAAAAATTAATTGTTAAGAATACTTAAATTTTACTGATAGAGAAATACTCGATGAGAATTTATTTTAATTATTGATTTTTTTGTGGATAAATTTGTAGATTGATATTTGATTACGAAATCTTGCATACTACGTCATATTTGTTTTATATGAGTCGTTTTTAATTTGTATAACATCACTGTCATTAATTTTTAGCGGTCGCGATTTCGCAAAAGATTCAGAGCTTTTATTCTTAACGATTTCATCAAAGAAAAAAACATCGTTAAATTTTTCGTCGTTTTTGTTTCAATTATAATTGAAGAATTAATGACCCAGATTTCATTTTGGAGGTAAATTTAATTCCATGAATATTGAGGTTGTGACGAAACTTCTTAAATTTGAAAGGCTGCCAAGAAAAGATAATGAATTGACATTGTCAAACGTATATTTAATAGGACATATTTATATTAATTGCACTATTAAAGCACGTAATGATGTGTTACGCGAGTTTATTTTAATTAACTTAAGTAGGTACTTATGTTGGTATTAATATGTGACACAATTTATGTCACTGACAAATGTTAGGGTGCCCTTCAACAATTAACGGTACATCACGTCATTCTGAGAAAATTAACGGTTAGGTATGCGTTACACGCTTTGAGTATAGTAATAACCACATGACTTCAAAATTTAATACTAACTTTAACCGCTTAATATTGCATTGATCGTTACGCTATGTTCACTGTGGTAGAGCCACGCAGCAGCCTCGGCTGTTGCACGAATGGACAGGCTCGTCCGGGTAAGTAACACGACCTTACAGAAGACCGGCGATAAGTGGCAGTATATACTCGTTTCGCCTGGTTTGGCGTTTCGTCTAGTGACTGAGGTGGCCGAGCCTAATTTTCAAAAGGTTGTCAACGCATCTGCAAACCTCGGGTATATCAGATGTCCATGGGCGACGATATTCACTTAACATCAGGTGAATCGTCTGCTCGTTTGGCAACTATTTACATAAAAAAAATGTTATAGTGTACTAACAGTCAACAATTTGTTTTTGGTTTTGTAAATAATCAAATACCTGTTAGTTTTCTGCTATGGAAACTTTTTGACATTTTATTATGCATAAGTGCCAATGGCGTTTGCACCATGCCTCGGCAAAAGTGAAGGTGCCTAGGCCCGTCTGTGCGTATGGCCACACTGTAGAAAACGGTGCCGGTCTGGGGACGTCTTCCGTTAAAAGACGCCCTAAACAATGCATGATGGACTCTCAAAGAAAGCGCATAGGGCCGCTGGCTGGCGGCGCGTCTGGAGCTGGTGCTGGACGTGGCAGCATGCGGAATGCCAGTCGATCGCACTGGGGGCACTGCACGACCACCAAGCAGTACCTCGCATCCATCATCCCCACCAGAAGCCAATCGGCACACGCCGCCGGTGGAATACGCCGCTTGCGCTGGACGCCCAACATGAATCAGAACGCAATGCGGGCGGGCGTATTTTAGAGTGAATGGGAGTGAAACTGGACGGTTTGCGTATCGGGCAAGGATGCATTGCTTTTTTGCTGAGCCTGAGCCATCTTTAGCCATCACCTAGCAAAACCTGGCAGACCGAGTTCGGTACATCATCCGCTCAAAAATATTTGATGATGCCGAGCTCGAACAACTTCGACGTAAGGCTGTCCCACATCGGACGAAAATGCAGTAGCAGGAAATGCGACCCCGCAAGCTGCTGATCCCGCGGGGTTACAAGCAGAAGCGGAGGCTGCGTTTTACCCCCCGGCTCCTGTAGATTCATGGGATGATGGAATATTTGCCCAAGAAATCGAGCAGATGAGAAGTATATTGGAGGAGGCAATTCTAGAGGTGCGTGAAACGCCTCTCGAGAATCAACAACGTCTACCCCACATACCCTTAAGTAAGCGGAGTTAGTCTGTCGTGAGGTCTCTTAACCTGATGCTGGCAACCTATTTGGAAGCAAGCCGGGATCTTTGCGATACAGACTCAATTCTCTTTGGCGCTGCACTGGCAGTATGCCGAATCGTTGGCGCCAAATTTCCCACGACTTTACGTGCTGCTAGACCAGGTAGCACTATTCCAGCATGGAGAAGAACAATTGAGGACCGTATCGCAAAGGTAAGATCATCATCGGCAGGCTGATAAACTTCAAGTCGGTCAATAATAGGCCCAGAATTGGCGCACCGTTAGGATGGCGTTCGCTGGGACCAACATCAACTTGTCCCAGCCGGATATTACGCAAAAACTAACGGAGCGCATAGATGACCTGAACAAAGGATCGCTGCTTGGGGGAAGCGGATTCGGAGAACCGGTTGAGAGGACGGCACGGTCTAGGCAGAATTGCCTCTTCCAGAGTGACCAAAAGAATTTCTACAAATCTTTGGAGCGACCGATAAACTGTGGTACGGGCCAACGACCGGACCAGGCCGATACTGTCACTGTCCAATCGCTCCCATTTGATGGAATTGCTTAAAGTCACTTGTGATTTCAACAATTCTATTAAAATGGAGCTTGGGATCGATAAGTATGCGGTTCTCCATGTCGAAAGGGATAAGGTCGCTAACACGAAGGGCATAGATTTATTTATGACCGTTAACATAAGAACCCTCTCTGAGGCAAAAACATACCTATACTTGGGTATGTCACAAAACATGTGAATCGATGAGGCTGTCATGAAACAGTCAGTTTGTGACGTGGTTTTGCACGTCTAACAAAGGTGTTTAACAGCCATTTGTCAGGCGTGAACAAGGCACGCGCCTTTGGCATACTCAGGTGGACTCAAACGGAGGTCAACGCCCTGGACCGAAAAGTCCGCACAACTATGACGTCCCACGGGATGCATCTGCCGGGATCGTCAGTGATGAGGCTGTACCTGCCGCGGAAGCATGGCGGGACGGGCTTTTTAAGCGCCCTCACCATGCACAATCGCGAGGTGTGCAGCCTCCGCAACCACTTTCTGGCGAGATCGGATTAGTCAATCTGTACGGACGTCATTAGTTGTGATAAAAGTCCTTTATCCCTCTATCTTTGGCCAACGAGCAATGGCAAGAACCGGGAATACTGAGCGTTTCCGACCGTGAGACCGAATGGAATAAGAAAGAGCTCCACGGGAGGTTCTACAAGACTCTACACGAGCCTTTCGTAAACACTGTTGCCTCCCTTAACTGGCTACGTTTCGGTGACCTTTTTGGGGAAACCGAGGGTTTTGTCTGTGCGATACAGGATCAGGTCATTAAGACGAACAACTATCGGAAATACATCTTAAGGGATGGCACCGTTGACATCTGTCAAGCTTGTCGCCAACCCGGGGAGTCGCTTCGGCACGGTCGTCCCATGCTTTCTAACTCTGAGTATCTGTGTAGACATAACCTGGCAGCCAGAATCCTACACCAGGAGCTCGCTCTGAAATACGGCCTCATGGATCGTAAACTGCTCTACTACAAGTACTATCAGGAGACCGTGCTCGAAAATGACCGTGCCCGGCTCTATTGGGGCCGGCCCATCATCACGGACAGGTCGATTGTCGCGAACAAACCTGATATCTAGGTGATGGACCGGGCATGGCTCGTATTTGTGGTCGGGTATTTTTGGTTGACATTACCGTTCCATGTGACGAGAACCCCGTGAAAATCGAAACAGATAAGAAGATAAAGCACAGTGTTCTACCTTTCAAATATGATTTTTTATAACTAATTCTTTAGGAAATGTATCCCGTTCTGACCGCCGGAAGTATCTTCCAAATATCAATAGGATATAGTATAATAAAATATACATTAATATACAGGACTTATAATAATAGATTTTTATATGAAGGAAGATGAAGAAAATGGTAAGCGATTTTGACCCATCCTTTAATGATTTTGAATTAGCCTTAGCTTTCTTCTGATCTGTTTCGGCTAAGGCTAAGTTTTTCTGTATATGTTTAAAGATAGAACAAATAAAGCTGTAGAAGTTTTTTTGAACTTCAATTTCTTTCACTTTTTTATTACTTCTCATATTTTACACAACGTATAATCATGCAAAGTTGGCAGTTCCATCCTAAATCATAACAGCCTCTCTTGATAGTCCTTTTACATTGAGGAGCCCGTATTTCGATAGGAGCTCTCAACAATGAAATTAATGTTAAGGTAACACGGTTTATTTACTCTTTCTATTTGCTAGCAATTCGCAGATTGAAAATTAGAGGAAAATTTAGGAGACTGTTCTTGGAATTTCTAATCTCTCTAGAAATTTTATCTTTAAATCCAATACATTTTTAAAATCATATAATATGACTTTGATAATTTTACTCGTGCTTCAATATTCTAATAATTTACACTAATATCCGATAATAGAGACATAAAAACGATAATTTCAAAAATAACATATGTATTTGTTTTTCAAGTCTCTGCTAACATAGTGGTATCTGCAGATATTGAAATGTATTTACGTTTTTAAACTTTCATTCACGATTTGTATAGTGTTAGTAGTCTTTTTTTATACTTTTTTTAAACAAATGCAGCAAAAAAACAGAGTCCGATGATAGATTATGATGGGTTATGGTTTAAACTTTTCGGTATGATCGGTACGGGTATGGGTGAAAACTTGTCTCCCACACAACATACATAATTTTTTGCCGTTTTTATAGGTATACCGTAACCGTATAGGTACG